GGTGAGTGGTGCACACCTATAATCCCAGTGGCTTGGGAGGCTGAGGCTCAGGAGGCTGAGACAGGAGGAGTGCAAGTTCAAAGCCAGCTTCAGCAACAGTGAGGCGCTAAGCAACTCAGTGAGACCCTGTCTCTAAATAAAATACAAAAGAGGGGCTAGGGTTGTAGCTCAGTGGCAGAGCACTTTCCTTGCACGTGTGAGGCACTGGGTTCGATCCTCAGGACCACATAAAAATAAACAAATAAAATAAAGGCATGCTGTCCATCTATAACTACAAAAACAAATTTTTTAAAGTACTAAATAAGGCTGGGGATGTGGCTCAGTGGTTGAGAGCCCCTGAGTTTAATTCCTAGCACCCCCCAAAAAGACCTGTAGGTTACATACAGATGTGAGCATGAACAGAGACACTTTTCCTCCCTGGGTGATACTGATATAATAAAAAATACATATGTGATCTCTGCCCTGATTCCAGACACAGAGCTCCTAAAACCCTTGAAATTTCCTGAGCAACAGGACTGCTAGGAGAATCTTTTGTTCTAACATTTTGTCTTTTCCTGACATAGAGCTCCTAAATCTCTCAGGAGTTCATAATGAGAGGAATATCTTTTGTTCTAATGAAGGAACCCTAATGTTTTACTTTTTTAAAGACAGGGTCTCCTTAAGTTACTGAGGCTGGCCTCAAACTTGTGATCCTCCTGCCTTGGCCTCACAAGTCCTGGGATTACAGATGTGCACCACCACATCCAGCATGAAGGGACTCTTGCTGGGCTTCTGGGTAACCTCGGATGGGGGCTTGTTGCCTGGGTGTGATTAGAGGGCTGGAAATTCCAGCCCCACCTCCTGATCTACTGGGAGGAAAAAGGTGTTTAATGTTGAGCTGATCACCAATGGCCAGTGATATAATCAATCAAGCCTAATTAATGAAGCCTCCACACAAATCCAAAAGGACAGGTTCACAGAACTTCCAGGATGCTAAAGGTGCCTGGAGGCCATGGAAGCTCCTTGCCCCTGCCCACTTACCTTGCCTTATACCTCTTCATCCAGCTGGTCATCTGTATCCTTTTTAACATCCTTTATAATAAATGGGAAAATGTAAGTCAACTGTGTCTTGAGTTCTGGAAACCTCCTAACTAAAGCTGGTGGGAGGTAGTCATGGGTACTTCTGATTTATAGCTCATCAGCAGCACAGGTCACAACCTGAGGCTTGAGACTGGCATCTCAAGTTTTGTGAGACTGGGCCCTTAACCACAGAGGTGATGTCAGAATGGAGTTGAATTGGAGGACACTTGGCAGGCGTCCGCTGGAGACCTGCTCGGCATGTGGGAGAAGTCCCCGCGCAGTTTGGACAAAGACATGTGCTGGTTGGAGCACGACTGGCTTAGCTGCTTGTCCTGTGCAATGAAGCAATGAGGACTGCACCCTGACACCCCCCCAGCAAGCAGGCCTGGGGGGGGGGGGACAGTAGGAAGGGAGGATAGGGAAACCCAGTGGGAATTTTAAAGTGAGGAGGAGATCCCAGGTTCACAGATAAAAGCCCAGGCTCCAGAGAGCAGCAGAAGGCTCACCATGCTCTGCCTCCTGCCTCTGCTCTGTCCTTAAGAAACTATTCTCAGTGCCCCCCAATGCTGTGTGCTCGTGTCCATCCTTGGTACAGCCCGCCCTGTGCCCTCCTGATCTTCCCCACCTGAAAACACCCTTCAAAGGAGCTCAGCGGCATCCTTCTCTAGAGGACCTCGGGCTCACAAGTGTCTCTTTCCTTTCCTGGAGGCCAACTGCACATGGTGACCCAGGCACTTATATGCACACATTGTTTGCTACTAGACTCGTCTCCAGTAGGATAGACTTGTATGGTTTATCCTTGCCCCGCACCCATCTCACATTAAATACTTGATGAATAAAAGCAGGCCTTCCGAGATTTAAGAAAAAAATACCAAATGAGTGATACTGTCGGAACAAGAAACTTTCCAACATCACAGAAAACCAATATGGCAGATTTATCCCTGCCTCTGACAAGGACGTTAGATTCTAAAGAGAATGAGTATACCAAGGGTCTTATCTTTGGAGTGTGTGTTTGATACCCAATTGCTGCCCCCAGCCTTCAGGAGGGTATGAAAAGGGAAGTCATAAAGGAGGAGTGTGATTGATAATCACAGAACCATCTTTCCATAGCAAACACAATCGACCTTCTAAGAGACTGTCCAGTTGCGTAGAGACCACTGATGGCTGCCTGAGCCTTCAGCCCAGGGGTGTCCACAGCAGCCTCCTGCTGACAGAATGAATGACTCCTGTTTTTTCCTTTGCTTCTGCTCCATGAAGCCATTGAAATGACACTGGGTCTCTCCGCAGTTCTGCCAACCACTGAATCAGGGAAGGAGCTCCCCGTGTGTGAATTCAGCCATGTTCATTCAGATTGAATGCATTTCTATAATAAATGATAATTTAAAAACTTTTTTAAAGCATCATTGTTTCTATGTGGCATCTATAAGGACAGCATTATACCATTTGTGTTTTGGGGGACAGAAGCACAAAATCAAGTGGCCTAGAAGGCTTAGCTCTTTCTTCCCAGCAGGCCCACTAAGCAACCTTTTGTTTCTGATGCACAAAGAAACAGACCTGTTTTCCTTGCCAAGTTCAAAAGTACTTTGGAACACAACTTATACTGTTTTTAAAGACAAACAGGAAAAAGGACTGAGGTGCTTTTAAAAACCCATTCTGAGGCACAGAGAATATCATCCATGGCCAGCATCCAGACCTACATATTTCCAATGTGAATATTTTAAAAATATTAGACTTTGGGGCTGAGGCTGTGGCTCAGTGGTAGAGTGCCTGCCTAGGATGTGTGAGGCCCTGGGCTCAATTCTCAGCACTGTATATAAATAAATAAAGGTCCATAAACAACTAATAAAATATTTTCAAAAAATTATAGACTTTTGTTCTGGTAACTTGAAAATTTGAAAAGAATTCACATATTAAAAGAGGACAGTATGTAATATTTTAAACTTGAAAATGCTTCATACCTACTATGAAGGATCTTTAGTTTTGGAAGATAATATTCCTATAATAATAAACTAGGACAAGAAAACATCTCAATCTCCACGGGGACAGATTTTTACATTAGCTTGAGCAGTGGGGAACAGAAAAAAACTGTCCTTTGCAAATGGTGTGAATTCACTGAGGAACACCAGATCCTTGATCTCTGTGGAAGTCAGCCTGTCCTGGGATTGCTTATAACAGCTGCAGGCAAAAGAGCAGAGCAGAGGAAACTCAGCCATCCTGGGTCTCCCTCCTCATCCCAGAGCACCTGCTGTGCATTCTGGAGACAATGGCACCTAAGCCTGGGTCAGAGGTCAGTGTTGAGCCTCTGGTCTAACACGAGACCAGAGGCTCTAAGTCCTTTCCTTATGTCATGGACATTCTTAACCAGTTGTACAGAGAACAAGGTATAGACATCATCCAAAACGGTATTTTGAAAATGTTTTGGACCCCAACGTTCAGCAAGAAATGAATTAATACTGTGATTCAGCATACATGTGTGCAAAAATGTGTGTGTACTCATAAACAAGTTACACAAATCAATATTTACCATAACTATGCTCATATATTCTGATCATTCATCTTCTATTATTTAATATTTAAACTATTTCAATTTGTTTAAATGCTGGTTTTTATCCACTAAACTGATTTCGTAATCCATTACAGAGGCCTGACTTGTACTTTGAAACACAGCAATGTGCAGCATTCTCTTGTTATGGGACATGTAGTTATTTATGTTCCTTAAGTTAATCAACTTGGAACCACAAAATTCCAAGAAATAGGAACTTCAACAGAAAAACAAAAGAACAAAAATTTTTTTTTCTACCCTGGCACATATAAAATGCAAAGAGCTGAAAATCATTCAGAAGAAATAATGGATATATGAGTTGTAACCACTTGGAACACAGACAAATTGAGGCAAAGTTTGAAGAGAGTTCAAATAAGAATGAGGCATTCACTAGGTGCCTTCCAGCATGTACAGAGGCAGAGGAAGCTTCAGTATCAATGCTGGGGATACAATTTCATCTTCCTTTGGCTAAACGAAATAATTTTAATACTCTCAATTAAATTTCAAATTCCATTTTCTCCTATCAGATGAACAAAGTAAATCAGCATTTACTTTAAAAACTGGAGGATTGTCAAGCATGGTGACATGTGCCTATTAATCAATCCCAGCAACTTGGGAGGCTGAGGCAGAAGGATCACAAGTTCAAGGCCAGCCTTAGTAACTTAGTGAGACTCCTAACAAATTAGTGAGACTCTGTCTCAAAATGAAAAATAAAAAGGGATGGGGGTGTGGTACAGTGGCAAAGCACCTCTGGGTTCAATCCCCAAAACAAAAAATAAAAATAAAAACTGGAGAACTGACTTTAGTCACATTCAAAGCAGATAACTCTAGTTAGAAGAAGGTTAAAACCATGTTTATAGCAGCACAAATACAACAGCTAAGTCATGGAACCAGCCTAGGTGTCCATCAACAGATGAATGGATAAGTATCTATACACATACACAATAGAGTTTAATCCAGCCATAAAGAAGAATGAAATTATGTCATTTGCAGGAGAAAGGAACTGGAGGATATTGTGTTGAAGAAGCCAGATGCAGAAAGTCAAGTGTTCTATGTATTCTTTCACATGTGGAAGCAGGAAAGAAAAAAGGAAAAAAGGATCTCATGAAAATGGAAGAAAGATTAGCAAGAGAGAGGAAGGGGACCAATGGGGAGGGAGGAGGGGAGGCAAGGGAAGTGCTGGGGATTGGAACTGAGGGAACCTGTGGTGAGCAGGTACAAACCTGCCACAATGGAACCCATTCTGCTGTATAGTTGTTAGCACAAATATAAAAATTTTTAAAGTAGGGTACAAATGACTCAGTGATGTATAACTTTCTTTTTTTTCCCCTTCAAAAAATTACTAGGACTGTATTCGTCAAGGGAAAGCAGTTGAAGGAGAAATGAAAACAAATACATCTTAACAATCCTTAAGTACAGCATATATTTACAATTTCAGTATTATACAGAAGGCCACTATCCATCTGTTCATTTAAATGTATCAATTTCTAAAGTTACAGTTCTCATAGGCCCACTTGTCAATTAAATTAATGTCCACCATCCTTTGACTCAGAGACTGTCACAGCTGACTTGGTCAGGAGAGCCCCACTTGTGGTTCAGGGCTAAGACCCTGGGGCCAGTGCTCTTCCCCATGGGAACTTCCACCGTAGTAGCTCAGCTCTGTGCACCTGCCCTCCCCCTCTCCAGTGATGTCCAGGCCAGGGCAGCCAAAGAGTAGGAAAGGCTCATGAGCAGCTGCTACTGCGGCCGTCTGTGAGGGCAACACACTCCCACCTCCTGGGTTCTGGAGCTTCCCTCCTGGCAGACAGCGTTTTACCAGCATTGACGGGGTCCTCTGGGATTACAACACCCACCATCTGTAGGTTCAGAAAGTGCTTTCAAGCAGGCAGTGACACCCACACCCGGTGGGACACACCTCCTGAGTCCGAAACCACTCCATCATGTGGCTAGTGTGGCCACCGTGACCGCAGGTCAGGCAGAAATTGGATGATCCCCGCACGGCCACGTGGCAGATGGCACACTGGAACGTGAAGCCTTTACAGATGGCACACTGTGTGCCCCGGACCTCGCTCCGGCAGTGGCTGCAGTACACGCCAAACTCTGGAAATGGGCGAAGGTGACAAAACAAGAGGCACAGTGAGTTTGGTTTTGAAAAAAGAAACAGCTCTGTCACCTCCCTAAGAAAACAGAAGCCTCTGAATTGAGACCCTTCCTCTTCACACCACCACCTCTGCAAGTCTCCCAGGGCTACACATCCTTTCCTAACCTCTGACAATGGGCACAGTTTTTATGACAGAATTACTTATTAAGGAGTAAATAAAACTTCAAAACAATGGCTGTCACACAAACTTCCTTTTCATGAAAAAATACATAAATTCAATAATAACTTGACTTTCTTATCAGACTATACATGGATAAATCACATTTATAGACCAGGTCATACTTCAAATGTCACATTTAAATTCAAATCTTATTTAATTGGCTATGAATAAGTCATTATTTAGAGGAGAAACATGCTTCATATATGGACATAAAGTCTACAAATCTTCCCAGAAAACTACTTTTTGGCCTGATGTAAGTAGAGATGTCGTGTCCTGACAGGCCACTGACACACGTGGGCACCACAGGTTGAGGCTATTACTACTGTAGTGTAAGTTCTGCAGCTGAAACCTGGGAGAGGTGAAACGGATCGTTCTTGATTCCTGAGAGACAAACTATTAAGGACAATAAAAATACTTGTGGTGCACAGAACAATTATATTATGATCCCAGGGCTTTATGAAACCTCCAGGCAGAAGCTAATTCCAAGGCCTAAGTGGAAGAAGGCTCTAGTGTGTTAACCTCACAACAAGGAGAGTTTTGTATATTAACCAAATCGCCTACACACAAATGTAAGTAGAACCAGCCAAATAAACAAGCCGTTGAATTAATAAATTGAAGCAGGAAGGAATCATCCCCAGGAGAGGCCGTGAGGACAAAGCACTTGCTTTGCTCTGCCACTGTTACGACCAAGCACTGCATATCACATGGGAAAAAAGCAAAAAAACAAAAATCATAAAGAAATACCCTGGCTAGCATTAGCCTCCCCAGTACAGGAGGCCTAGAGACCTGTCATAAATATCTAACCTCCTAAATGGAAACGACTTTATCATCCCTCGAATTTGCTATGCTGATGCCCATAGATCTGGGATCTTGCAGATGAGAGAAGCTGAGAGGAGCCTGCTGGTATCCCTATAAAGACAATGCCTGTGCTTTGGGGGCCTGCTGGTTTTTCTTTCAAAACCTTCTGCGTCCTATACCTGGGCAGCCAATTCCCCTAAAGTTGTAAAATTTTGCAGATCAAAGCACTTCTCGATTGGTTTTGTCTGCGATCTTCTACAATTCTTCCACCTCCTTTAAAAAATCTTGTGACACTGTTTGTATTGGTACTAGGATATATTATGAACCTTGCTTAGGTGGTTCCTGGGTTTATGTTTCAGACTCTGATTGGATTATAGACTTCTTGCCCCCACTCACCAAACATCTATTCCTTCGTACATCCCACAGAATTGTATTAGTCAATAAGGGTTTAGCTGATTGATGCACTGACACATCAGTTCCATATCTCTGTGATTCATGTTTTCCTAAAAACTAATTTTAAAAGACAAATTACTCTGAGTTATCATTAATCTCTTTCTAGTATACTTTCCTGCTATTAGACACTATGAAAAAATGTATTGCTCAAATAGCATTTCATGCCTGTATTTCTTCAAGTATGTATACTGAAATAAATCATACTAAAATAATTCTTATTATTTACTGTTTAAATCTATGTATTGCCTGTTTTTTTTTTTTTATTAAAACTATTGGCACAATTTAAAGAGTCAAATAGTTCTATGCATCTTGGTCCAAAACCCAGCATTTCCTGTTACCCGCACCCCTTTTGAACTCATCTGACTGCTTCATTTCTTTTTCCCTCCTTATCTCTAAACAACATGTTTATAAGGCTATTTCTTAAGTGTCACATGTAGGCACTGCCCACTGGCTGTCCACAGTGGAAACACTCCCCCAGTCTCCCAACGACAGGCACACCACTTGCTCGCACTTCCCCGCGCAGTTCTCCCCTGGCTGGATCACGTTCTGCTTGTGCATCATTTACCCATGCAAACATCATTCAAGTCATGTACTATGACACTTTCCCTTTCTTGAACATTTTGTTTTTCCCAGAGTTGGTGACTGTCTCACTTTTTCATTTGTTTAGTTTGCTATGTACTTATTAATAATTCATCTCTGAACTCTCCTTCAAATAACTGATCTTCTATAAATACACTGAACACTGAGCTATACTAGATAATTTCTTCAATTTTCTCTTGCTGGAGCCAGGACTCCTGACTGGTTTATGCCCCTGTCTGTATGGTAAGCACCCTCCATCAGCACTCCAGCTTCCTTATTTATGGGAATGAATCTAGTCCTCCCTAGACAGGCTCAGGCTGACTTTTATACATGATTGACAACTGATTAGAAATCATTCCCTTGAGAATTCTGGAGGCATTCCTGCATTGTTATCTTGTATCCAGAGATGTGATGAGGTATGATGCCATTTATATTCCTTACCCTTTGTATGTGACCTCGTTGTTTTTCTTTCTAGAAGTTTCCAGGGCATCTTCTGTATCCCCCATCTTTCTTTGGCCATTATGCTAGGTACCTGACATGGAGCTACTACTAACTCACCTGATTCCCAGATCCCAAATTTTATTGCTAACATTACTTCTCCTTGCAAAGGTATACCTTTTCAGAAAAACTGTATACAGACAGTAATGGTAGGGTCTGGAGAGAGAGGAAATCAATGTTGTGTCCAGTCACTCTCTTCAGGAGTCTTCCATTTCTTCCTCTTAGAAAAAACCTCTTTGCTTAGGTTCTTTCACATCATTGCCCATCTTTTCCTCAAAACTCACTGATGTCTCACTCTGTCTCCACCTCTGGTTCTTCCTCCAGGGCCCAGCTCCCAGGGTGGGCAGGCTCTTATCTGTGCTCCCCACACCCTCCCTTCCCATGCCCACCCAGCTCCTAGGTAAACACGCCCATTTTCACAGCTCAAATACTGTCCACATGCTGGAGATCCCCAAATTCCTAGCTCTAGCCCGCAAATCTCCTGAGCACCAGACTCACATCTAACCTCCCACCAGACTCCTCCCATCCCAAATTTCACACACATCTCTAACTATCTCAAACTAAGTTCACAATTTTTTTTCCTGTATTTTCCACCTGAGGAAAACAACACTGTCACCTACTTAGTTGCTCAAGCTGGAAATCCAGGAATCACCCAAACTTTGTCTCTCTTCCTTAATCCCATAACCAAATTATTAGCCAGTCATGTTGAGCCTAACTCTGAAATATATATATGTATTTGTGTGTGTGTGTGGTGCTGAGTGCATGCAAAGCAAGCACTCTACCAACTGAGCTATATCCCCAGCCCTAAAATATATTTTTAATCCCTCTTTCTCTCTGTTGTGACACCACCCTCAGACTAGGCCACAGAGCTCTTGGATCACAACAACGCCCAAATGGTCTTCCTATTCCTACTCAGCACTCCTCTAGTCCTCCTCTAACAGTCAAGGTGATCCTCTTAAAACGTAAACCAGAGCATGTCACTTCCTTCTTAATGCCCTCCGAAGCTCACCACTGGACTCAGAATACAACCTAAATCCTTTACCACATCATACAAGTCCATGCTGGCTATGGCCCTAATAATCCCACAATCTTAATTTTTAAAATTCTTTCTATGTTATTTAATTTTTTTATCAATATGTTTTTAATTGACACAAAGAAACTGTGTAATGTGGCATTTCAATACATGTACACAGTGGGCTATGATCCCTTCAGGGGAGAGCCATCTCCATCGCTTCAGACTCACATCATTTCTGTGTCAGAAACCTATAGGATCCTCTCTTAGCTATTTTGAAATATTCAACAGTTACCTTACTGAGCTACAGAATAGGAAAAGTTATTCCGCCTATCCAACCATACCCCTGCACCCTAATTTTGTATCACTCTTCTCACTTATGGGTTCTGGCCACACCGGCCTCCCTTCACTTGTTCAAAAATGACAAGTCATGTCCTTATGGGCTGCTCCTCTGTATGGGGCGCCGCTCTTCCCACTGACCTTCCCAGACAGCCCCTTCTCAGCTTCAGGCCTTGGCTCCTTGGAGAAGCCCTTCCTACTCGCCTTGACTCATCTCTTAGGATTCACCTTCCGGCTCTCCCTGCCCCAACATCATTTTTGTTTGCTCATTACTATTTGTCATAATTTGTGATTATTTAATTTTTCTCCTACCAGCTGTGAGTTCCATAAGGGAGAAAAAGACTGCGTGAGCACCAAGTGCTGGGCCTTCCGGGGGCTTGAAGGGGCTCCACATGCGTTAGTTAAACAAGTGAGCGAGCACCCCACTTCCAATCCATTCTGAGTACTGGATCTGAGACTACCTCTTTACAATTGAAAATGAATCTTGTTATCAAATGCAAGGGTTTTCAGGAGCTTAGTTAAGACTCAACATGCTTCTGAAATTCAGCCTATAAATGAGAAGGGAAGACTTCACCCCAAGTCTGAGGTTGTGGACAAATTAAATGATAGGATCTTCGAAAGGTGATAGGAAAGAAAAGAAATTCACACTCACCAATCCCTTTGTGGGGATCAGGGGGACAGGACACAAACTTGAGTACTTCTGCTCGCTTCTCTCTTAGCCCCCAACGGTAGAGGATTTCTCCATAGCATTTCTTAAAGTCGTCAAACTGCTGGGTGTTAGCAGGGTCCAAAAGCCTGGATAAAATTCAAGATTCCCTGTCAGTTCCAGAAAACATAAGCTTGATACCAAATGGCATTTAATATATCTTTCTTCAAGCAAGAGTCCTGATCTGGGAGAGCTGAGTTCTGGATCTGCGTTCCTGCCTGGGAAGGCTGTTACCTTTTATTTTTATCATGTTGGTCCCGTTCCCGCTCTCGAGGATCACTGTAGGTCAGACTCCCGAAGCGGATTTCTTCTGGTGAGGACTCTCCCCAAGGCGAAGATAAATGCTCTGCGTCTCTTCCCGCTGAAGAAAAGGAAAGAGGAAGGGAAGACACAATCAGTGAAGACCTGCAGACACCTGAAAACTCTCAAGCCACAGTGTCCTCAACTGAGTCCCTGGTAGAAAAATAAGCTAAGCTGAAGATTCTGAGAAATATTTCTAACTCTTTGTCCAGGTTTTTACTACTAAGAGAACCTGATCATTAAGTGCACTCAATAATTAAGGAAATTATAGTATACTGACACAGAATGTAATGCAGTGATTATTTATAAAGATTTGTTAAATGACATATGAGAAAATACTCTTGATAAAATTAAAAGCCGAACGCAATCTAGCATATATAGAATAACCACCCACACACGTACACATACTGGAAGAAAATGTTCTGCAATGTTAATGGATGTTATTTCCTAGGTAAGGGAAATCAATAATTACAATTTTTTTCTCTAATATTTTTTGTCTGTGTTTCTTCCCTGGGCATACTTTTATTTATTTGTTTTGGCTTTATTTTATTTTTTTAAAGATTGGGTCTTGCTACCTTGCCCAGGCTGACCTAGAATTCCTGAGATCGAGCAATCCTCTAGCCTTAAGCCTCCTGAGTAGCTGGGACTACAGGAACATGCCATCCTGCTTGGATCCTGCACTACTTTTATAATCAAGAAAATTAAGATTATCTTTAAAAAGAAATTTTAAAAATCCTGGAAAACACAGAGACACCCACTCATGAAACAGAACCCCCCGACCAGCTGGAGTCAGGCCCAGCTTTATTTCTCTACACTGAAAGCAGTCTTGGGAAGAGGTGGGTGATAGGAAGTGGCAGATGATCCTGGAAAGGGCCATGTGAAGGAGAAAGGAGAAAAGCTGGGTTTGTGGGGAAGAGCAGAAGTACCAAAGCCAGTTTATCAAGGCTGTGAGATGGAACACAAGACCTTTCAAGATACAAGGCCAGGCCTTGCTGAACAGCATCCCTCCCACACCAAAGTGAGAGAACTGAGAACCAAAAACATGGGGAGCAACATGCACTAACTGAAGATTCACGTGGACGACAGCTTCTAGAGTACTGAGAACCCAGCACGGCCTGGGTCCTTCCACACCAACCTATGTTCCAGCCTCCGGTGCTGAGCCCTGGGTCCGACATACTGGAGCAGGAACCCGAGGAGGTGAAGCTGGGCTACAGATGGGAGGAGGAACACACTGGCATCAGAACACTGGTCCACACCACAGTTCACATCAAGGAAAAATCAGACACGAACCAGAGAACCACAACTTACATATCGACTGTGGGACACCATGAGATTAGAAGACCGGTTAGGAAAAGGCCCGAAGGGGTTCGGGATGCCCTGAGGCCGAGATTGGGCTTCGAACACACTGCAGAGCATTGCCAAGGTCTGCACGTCCCGGAGTCGGCAATAATGAGCCAGCCTGGAAAAGTAGGTGCCAGGAAGGAAAACAAGTCAAGCAGGGGACGAGGAAGGACATCTCGCAGTCTCTGCCATGGGTAGGTGCCTCAAACCCTGTCAGGAACTGGGGCCTTCTGCAGGCTCTGACCTGCTTTGAATCTGGCTACACTTGAGTTGGAATAAAAGGTATCAAAGTCTTACGAAGGGCCTAGATCCCCACCCTGAGAGTTCCTGACTGGCAGTGAGGCTAGAGCCCCAACACAGTGCAGCTTCTCCCCAAGAACCAAGTGGGCTCACCTCACACCTGAGTGAGGAGGAGTCTGCGCCTCCTCAGGCTCCCCAACTCTGAGGAGGAATCACACTGCTTTGGGGGCACTTCCCATATTCCTCATTCATATAGTGTGAAGCTACAGAAGGTGCCCAGAAACACCCTACTGCCATAGTATGGTGGAAAGGCCACTGACTCTGGAGATGGAATTGTGACCAGGAGCTATTAAATAAGAATGACAAGGAATAAATATTTTTACCTTTTAGGTATTCCTGTTCCCTTTGTCTTTTGGGACTACCCTACCCTAGAATGTGAGCTAGTGATCAGAGGGACTTTGCCCCTGGGATGGAATAATACACCTTCCTAGCACTCAGTTTTGAACATTTTTAACTGTTTTTTAGTATCTTTCAGAAGGCTTACCTCAAGTAAGTAGAACAAATGTTACCATCCCTGTATGGATGATAAGGCAGTGGGAGCACACAAGTAGGTGTCCCAGGTCTGGCCTCAACAGGTAAATAAAGCAAATCTCAAACTGCAGAAGTGGAGTTTCCTTGCCTGGGCCTGGGCCTCAACATTATGGACATTCAAGTCATTTTACTCCGTGGTAAATTATTTTATATCTTATAATGCTAGCTTGCCATATATCAGTGTAATAAATTAAACACAAATTCACTGTTTCTATGTGTTGCCCAACAGTGTGAAAGCACCCAGTGTTGGGAAAATAAATACAGACACACCATTCTCTTATCTCTTCCCTGGGGCCAGACCCCACAGCATCTAAGAAGAAATTCATCTCCAGATCTGGGTTCACACAGATGTGATTCATAGACTAAAGCACGTGTCTTTAGGTGTCTCTAATCCTTGTTATAAGTGACAAATACTATATAGTACCTTTTGCTGTAAGAAATTAATTCTGTACAGAGGTAATTTCAGCACTAAAAGGAAAGATCCTACTTCTTCCTCTCATTTCTTAGGCCTCTGAAACTTTCTTTTTTTGTTTGTTTGTTTTGTTTTTTGGTTGAACCCAGGGCCTTGGGCTTGAGAGACAAGTACCCTACCAACTGAGCTATATCCCCAGCCCTGCAACTTTCCCTGAGGCAATAACATTTAATGTGTTTACAGACCAAAAGTCGACATCATTCATTTTTCTCACTTTTAGCTCTCAAAACCTACAGGGACTCCAGTAGCTGTCGCCCAAATGGATGCCGAGCCCAGGGTGTTTCCAAATCTGGGTCAGACTTCGGACCAAGGCAAAGATCTGTAGCTACTGTAGCCAGCGACCACACCTGGAGAGATGAAAGAGAGACACTCAGACTGATGAGGACAGGAACAGAACCATGAAGAAACCCCACCTCCCCTCCATCTACAACCTAAAACCCTGCTATGGAGCGCATCGAAAGCTGGGAGCTTGCTCAAATGCAGCAGGTCCCGCTCATACTGACCAAATAAGAATCTGCATTTTATAAGATCCTCAGAGGACCTGTATGCACTATAAAGTTTGAGAAACACTAGCCTTAAAACATCATTAAAGGGCTGGGAATGTAGCTCAGTGGGAGAGTGCTTGCCTAGAACGTGCAAGCCCCTGGGTTTGATCCCTGGCACTGGGTTTGATCCCAACCCTGGGGCGGCAGCGGTGGGGAAGAGTTCATTAAATGAATTTCAGAGAAATGACTGTAATAATTTTAAGGTGTTATCTATTTAACACTAACTCATGAATTTCTGCTTTTTTGAGAGTATTCTGGATCATGTTGAAGATCAGTCTTTTACCCAAATAATGTGACTTTTTTTGCTTTCATTATGAAAGTTTTAGTATACCCTCTGAAGCTAAAGAAGAACAGGTTGAGGCTAAATAGACCTGGCTTTCTTTTTGTTGACACTAAATCTGAGGAAGACCTCCAATCCTGATATCTCATGGGGCTCGGAATCATCAGCAGAAACTAGTGTCCACTCAGTGTTTATTAAATCCAAGAAATGTGCTAAACACACTATGTTACAAACAAGCCCCCATCCCCTGATACTTGTATCAAATACTACTTTTAGAGAATTTTTTTCAGTAGTGATACATGACTGCAGCCCACTAATTGGAAAGCATTATTCTAGACTGAAAGAAGCTAAAAAAGGAGAAGATATTAACTTTGAATCAAGGAGTTTATAATCTAAGAAGAAAGAATAGGCAAATAAAAATGCTGAAAAACAGAAACATCAGACGTACAAAATCAAAATTATGTGGCACCAACACACTTGAAAATGACATACAAGTGTTGTGGAAGAGAGAAAACTTGAAGTTTACATTCATGTCTGAAATTAAGGACCCCCTTGAATGGCTGACTTGTTAGGGTGGGAAAGCTTTTCTACCCTGGCTGACAATTTAGCCACTTTGCTTCCTCACTTTAAATTATCATTTCTTCAACAGAAAGAGTGACACTTGCATTCATTTCTGCAGTTTTTGTTAAAACAGTAAACACATCATTTTTAACATGGGCATAAGGAACAATGAAAATTCTTCAGGCTTTCTCACTGATGTCATTCCTCTGTCCCTTTGAAACATACCAAGTCACAAATGATGACAATGATAATTATAAGAATAGCAGCAGTGACTGTACCACACAGTGGACCTTTTCTATCTGCCCATACAGTTATGAGACTTTACAGTTATTACATCATTTAGTTCTCACAGTGGCTTCTGGAGCACTGCTCCATTTTACAGTTGGGGAACTTGAGGTTTGGAGAAATTCGGTGCCTGGCCCAGGAGCACACAAGAATGCTGCAGCCCCAGGTTTGCCTGAAGACACGGTCCTCCCCAAACATTTGGACTGCCTGCTCTATCAGGTCAATTCTGCCTATAAATTATTAAACACTTAAAAACAAAAACAAAAAACCCACACCTCTTTAAGAAGTAATTTTTCCTTAGAGGATGTTTTTTTCAGAACATGAACTTGGTCTGCCTTAATACTGCATTCACCAATCTAATCTTCTCACCAACCACTTAAGGAAATTATTCTCAGGCTTCTCATTTTACAAACATCTGAAAGGCCTTAGTGTGAGGTAACTTGCCTAGAGTTCCTCTGCTAGAAGGAGGTGAACCAGGCCTCCCGTGATAAATCCCACACTGCTTCTTCTAAAAATAAATAGACTTCTATAAATAAAAAAAAAATTCTTCTATAAAAAAATTTCTCATGTTGACTTCTTGCTGTGTACAAAATCTAGGTGTCTGGGGCCTTAGAGAAATAGGGTGTGATGGTGCACACCTGTAATCCCAGCAGCTCAGGAGGCTGAGGTAGGAGGATTCCAAGTTCGAGGCCAACCTTGGTAACTTTGAGACCCTGTCTCAAAATAAAAATAAAAAGGTCTGGGGATATGGCTCAGTAGTAGAAGAGCACCCCTGGGTTCAATCCCCAGTACAAAACAAACAAACAAACAAAAAAAGAATTCATGACTACATTTCTCTTATAAGGGTTTCAGGCAAAAACTTGACAGTATTTATTAGAAAATAAATGGAAATCTTAGGGATTTTTTTTTTAAATCAGATAAAAGCCAAGGAAAAGTCTGGTGTTGATTTGTTAAGAGGATTACAAGAAAAATACCAAGCTAATAGGACAGTCTCTAATAATTTCCATTGTTCAATCTAATCCTCAGACTAAAGAATAAGGATGCAAGAGAGACAGAAAGTAGATTAGTGTTTGACTAGGGCTGGGGACAAGACAGGATTGAGAGGTGACAGCTCAGGGCATGGGGTTTCCTTTTGGGATAATGAAAATTTTCTAAAACTGCTTGCGGTGATGGTTGCACAACTTTGAATACACTGAAAACCACCGAATGGTAGGTTTTAACTGGGTAAATTGCATGTTATGTGGACTATATTATAATACAGCTGTTTAAAAAACAATATAGACACTGTGCATGGTGGTGCACGCCTGTATCCCAGTAACTCAGGAGGCTGAGGCAAGAGGATTGCAAGTTTGAGACCAGTCTCAGCAACTTAGTGAGACCCTGTGTTAAAATAAAAAGTAAAAAGTACTGGGGATGTAGTTCAGTGTTAAAGAGCCCCTGGGTTCAATCTCCAACATCCACCTACCCCCAGGCAAAAACAAACAACAATAACAACATGTATATATATATATATATATATATACACACACACACACACACACACATATATACACATACACATATATGCTTTGTGTGTGTGTGTGTGTGTGTGTATGGAGCAGCTTGCTTTAGTATACTGATGTGTTCCTGCAAAGATGAAGGAAATTTAAATTTTTTTAAAGATTAAATCATTTTTTAAAACTCAACATCTATACCTAAAGGAATGCTTTGGTAAACTTTTATGAATGAAGCTTTTTCCCCCTAGTGCTGGGGTTTGACTCCAAGCCCTCATGCATGCTAGGCCAGTGCTCTACCACTCAGCTACTTGGGAAACTAAGGCAGGAGGATCACAAGTTTGAGGCTAGCTTGTGCAACTGAGCAAGACCCTCTCCCAAAATAATATTAAAAAGGGCTGGAGATGCAGTTCAGTATGCAAGGGTTCAATCGCCAAAACCAAAAGAGAAAAAGAAAAACAAAGAGGGAAAAGAAATAAGAATTGAAAGTGCAAATGGCAAAAATTACATACTCAAACTAAGTATGCAATGATTACTGTGGTACTGGAAGAGAAAAGAGATGTAGTTTAAAGAAAGAAAATCAGACTGGCCAAGGCAGGAGGATCCTAAATTCAAGACCAAAATGGGCAACTCAACAGGCAACTTGGCAAGATCCTCTCTCAAAAAATAAAAAGGGCTGGGGATGTAGCTCAGTGGTAGAGTACCTCTGGATTCAATCCCAGTATCAAAAAAAAAAAATCAGTAAATTCTTTAGGATTTTTTCAACTACTCATTGGTAAGAATGATGACTATAGTCAATGATCTGGGGTTTTCTGATCTGAGACTGGACTCAAACTTGCAATCCTCTTGCCTCAGCCTCCTGAGTTACTAGGATTACAGGTGTGCACCACCAAGCACAGTGTCTATATTGTTTTTTAAACAGCTGTATTATAATGTGGTCCACATAACATGCAATTTACCCAGTTAAAACCTACCATTCGGTGGTTTTCAGTGTATTCAAAGTTGTGCAACCATCACCACAAGCAGTTTGAGAAAATTTTCATTACCCTAAAAGGAAACCCCATGCCCTCAGCTGTCACCTCTCAATCCCTTCTTGTCCCCAGCCCCTAGTCAATGATCTGGGGATTTTGCTATAGATTAGCAAGGACAACAAAACAAAACAAAAAAATTGCAAAACAGGAGGCAAAAATGTTGCTAACCCATGACTATCAAGTGACAACAACTTGGTCATAAAGGGAAATCCCAAGCTGCACCAACAGGGAGGCATGTACCTGGACAAGATCCTTTCTTCCAACAAGCATGGCTGAAGCAGCGTTCTTCTGACATGTTTCCTGAATATCATTCACATTCAATCTGAAATTTTTAAAAAAGAATAAAAAAGTGTCCTTCAGTCTAAGTTCCTAAGTCAATTCCTTCTGGTTTAACAGCCTAGCAACTGCCTCTTTGCTGTTCACTCAAAATGTTTTTCACTGTGTTGGCCTCAAGCTGCCTGCTATCTGACACGAGGATTAATGAGAGCTGATGTTAAGAGGGCTATGGGTTCCAGGGAAGGTGAATTCCTCACTGTTTTGAGTCAGGACGGGAAGCCAAAGTCAAATGCTAATTTGCCAACCAGTTTTTATGTGAAGTTTCCAAGATTTAAAGGATTTAAATATATGCAACACTGTGAACCAACAAAGAGCCTTGGGCTGTTAAAATAATACAAAATAAACACTTCTTGTTATGTGTTCAAGTTCAGGAAGAAGCAGGAGAACCACAGGCTAGCAAACATGCTGGTCACTCACCTCCCACTCCCCTTCAACCAAGGCGGTGCCTTTGATTTGTTTTATATATTGGATATGAGAGCCAATTCTAAGATTCCTGTCCACTGCCATACATATCCTCCCTATGAAAGTGAATGGCACCAGTGAATATTGATGGGATGTTGCTCCTGTGATTACATTATTAAGCACTGGACTTTGAGTTTGTCAAAAGGCAGACTATCCTGGGTAGGCCTTACTTAATCATCTGGGCCCTTAGAAGGGTCTATGAGCCACTGTTATTGGTCTGAAGAAGATGAAATTCATATAAGCATTCTATAGCTGCAAGGATCTGAATTCTGTTAACAACTGAATAAGCTTAGAATAGGACCCAAGGCTTAGGAAGAGAACACCACCTAGCCAGTGTAATGATTTCAGCCATGTGAGACCCTGGGCGAGGGTCCAGTGAAGCTATGTACAGACGGATACTGCAAGGTATGCTGTCTGAAGCTGCTAAGTCTGTAGTAATTTGTTACAAAACAAGAGAAAGCTAACACACTGAACTTCTACTAAAACTGCTTTTGAAGAAAAGCTTGCAACACTTACAAAAAAGGTTTTTGGATCCTGACTAAGCAATAAGGGCAGCTCACCTGAACTCTTGAACTTACATGTACAGTTCTCCCAGTGATTTATGAACAGGAAGGAGGCATGAAACATCCTGGATGATGACTTTCCCGGCAGCCTTGATGGGTCGATTGCCAGAGTCTGATCCCTCACGCTTACTTTTCCACCTCCTTGATTTCTGGGGGAGACGACAAGATAGAACTAATGAGGACTTTGAACAGTGGAAACCTAGAGTTGCAGAGCATATCATATTTGGGTCATTGGTAATTTGCAGAAACTTTAAATTATATCATGCCCACAATTACATGAATCAGCATCTGTAGGAAATAAAAGGATGACAAAGGGACTGACCTCGTGATCCAAAATCCTAACAGGAAAATAGGCACCAAATGCAGGACTATTTACATTCTGCAGGTGCTCAAAACCAGATACCAGGAAGCCAGAATTAATTAATTAATTAAGACAGCAGGTAAATAAGTTAGTAAAGGCCCCCAAAATGTGGGAGAAGAACAAATTTTAAGATTGTTAAAGTACTAGGTTCAAAGTTCTTGCCTGAAACTAATCAAAGGTGTAGGGGTGTGTGTGTGTGTGTGTGTGTGTTTCTTCTTCTCAGGTTCAACAGGGTTTGTTGAAATTTTAATTTAAGAAATTTTTTTAAAAAGAAATTTTAATTTAGACATATCAGTGCAGATTCTGCAAACCTTAATCTATGAAGGAAGACAGAAATTTGGCAGCTCAGGAATTTTTCTAGCAACTTAAATAATTTCTAAAAGTGATCATTTTAGGAAGCCAAAAATGAGTCAGGGGATTATATAATGGACATGAGAAATCATGAGCAAGGGTCCCAATTCCCCAGAGCCATTCCTGTGTGTGTGAAATGGGAAATGTCCTGGAAATCCAGAATTATTAGAGTGCAGCTCCATCTGGTATCTTCAAAATGACAACCAGCCACAGGAGCAGTAATCTATTTTATTTCCAGAAGTTCAAAAGAGATCACCAAAGTGGTTCAAAACTAAGGAATGGAGAGACATACTTATTAACAAAGAAGGGGAAAGGAACAAAGAATAGGGCCTGACATTTGGATTTAGAAAACCACAATTAACTGGTCTTATTACCACATGTACTGGTTCAATATGACCCTGGGCAAGTGAATTATCTACTGTGGATTTAGTCTCATGCATTTACTCTTTGCTCTCTGATAACTTGAGGCCAGTGATGGACTCTGCTGTCAATCTCATGAGGTCAATAAGGATACAATGTAAAGATATGGGTGCAAACCAAAAAATGCAACCTAAAAATATATAATTAATATGAATATATAAACTCAGGAATCTAAATTAGATCATTATTTGATTACTCACAAATTCATTCTTTGCAAGTGATTTTTTGGCCGGGGCCAGGGTGGGGGGGGGGGTGGTACTGGGGATTAAACTAAGGGGTGCTTACCCACTGAGCCACATCCCCAGCCCTATTTTGTATTTTATTTAGAGACAGGGTCTCACTAAGTTAGTGCCTCACTGTTGCTGAGGCTGGCTGTGAACTGGCGATCCTCCTGTCCCAAGCCTCCCAAGCCGCTGGGATTATAGGCATGCGCCACCATGCCTGGCTGCAAGTGATTTTTATACAATCACTTATTCATGAATTAGTCTTGGATTAAATCCAGGAATTCTGACCACTGATGTCCCATCTAATCCAAAGGTGCCAAGTGCATATAACTTCCTAAAGGATTAATACATGTCTTGGAACATATTAAATGCAGGACACCTGGACTTAGTTTCAGGCGGGCACACCATAATGTAGTGCATATGCTTCACTATCAGATTGGAACCTTAACCCATCTGAGTTTAAGAAACTCTGTTACTATTTACTACTTAACAAGTCATTATTCTTCAACACAAGGGGATGCCCAATCTATTCTGTTGGGTAGCCCTTCATCTCTTCATGCCCTGGTTCTTTCCAAAAGAAGGATTATGGGCATACTCACAAACATACTATCCTTTTAGCTACAAACATCCTGACTTGGAAGCAAGTGAAGGACGGACATGTTGAAGAGTAAACAATCTGTCATGGGAGCAGGCAGTGTTAACTGACGTAAGATGGACATAGTTATGTGCACTCAATACTATGCACAACTTGCTGTAGGGACGGTAATTTCATGTACATGTACCCTGCAGTGACAGTGAACAGTACAAGGTGCTTCACTAGCTGGGAACAACATACCCACAGGTCCCACACAACTGACCATCTCAAATAAGACTTAGGGTACTGGATTAAGAAAAAACCTTATGCTAAAAAGATTCCACCTGGAATGGAATATGATCCATCTAATTTGGTCTTCCGAGTTGTTGGAAGGCTTCTAAAATACTGTTGCAGGAAGTCACTCTGGCTCCTTATTATAAAGAGAAAATGAGAAGCACTTGAGCAATCGAGCAACTCAGGATAGTTCATTTAACGACAAAGCTTAAATAAATGGAGGCCTCGAGAAGGATCGGGCCTACTAGCTTTTAGAACACACTGAAAATAACCACAATTTCCTGGTTTTTAAAGCAAACAACAACAACAAAAGCACATTATTAATCATATGAGGGCTCATGTGCCAAAAGTGGTTCATTTGCAAGTAGATTAGTTCATTTAGAAACTGACAATGAAACAAGTCCAAGAGTACAAATGTTTGGCTTAGGATTTAAAGTCTTGTCTGTTGTTATTACCATCATGTTAATCCCCACTGGTGGCCTGCTCGCTCTGGGCTGGGCACCTCACTGCAACTCCATGATATAGTGAGGATGTGGGGCTTATTCAAGGTCATGATCATCTAGCCGAGATTTCAACAGGCCTGTCATTCTTGTTAACTTTTTCCCTCTTCACTGTAGATGATTTTAAATTAACCAGGAAAAAAAATTTAAGACCTGGCTAAGCTACCTGTTAATATGTAAACAGTTTGGTCCACTTTTAAATGAATCCATTTCTGCGTGTAAGAAGATTCACATTTGAGCCTCGTGACGCCTGCATCCACATCATCCTTCCACATCGATCCTTCTTCAGTCACTTCTCCTGAGCATCATGACTGCATCCAGCTAAGTCAGAGTAGTCAGCCTGCTGCAGCTCCTGCAGCCACACAGCTTTCAATGGGGCAAGCCAGACTCAGAACATGACACTGTTACTTCAGGCTGGATTTCAGTGTCTGTACCTTCACATCTCCTTTCGTGGATTTGTTAAGACTGAAGAAAACTTGGGAGTTCAAAGAAATGTCTTAGGACTGTTCCCCAATTTGCAGTCTTGTATTACAAGATCAGTAGAAATACACTAATGTGAGTCATCAATAAATACTTGATGAAAATATAGGCAGCGGTCTTTGACAATTTTTTGTAACTATTCTTATTGAATTATGGAAATCATGGTCTGTGTTTCCTGGGACATCTGGAGACACCAGCCTTCGAGGAGTTCAACTTTGATCTGTACTGGATGAAGAGGAGGTCTTCACAGAACTTCACTCAGCTGCCTCTCAGCCTTCAACAGGAGGAGTTCCCCAAAATGAGATCCTCCTAATTCCTGCTACCAGGAATCAAGCTGTCAAAGCAATTATGGAACAGTGCTAGTAGTTTTCTTAATCCAGCAAGGAATGACTACAAAACATTGTCAAAAATCCTTAAAAGGCTACAAAATAGTGTTGGTATTGTGTATTTTTAAATTTGTTGACTAAGAGTTTTAAATATGACATATTTTCCTTTCAGCCTACAAGGGTCACTCAGCAACCATGTCTAATGGCCAGTTATTCTGGAGATTTAAATTCAAGATTGCCTAAATGACGATATGCTATATCTCAAATGAGATGTTAATTGGGGCCTTGGGTCCTGGTTGTTCCCTAACAAGAAGATGGACAATTTTTCAGGGTGTTTCTTCCAGGGCCTAAGCAATAAAAAGCATTCCTGCTCCACTCACATTTTCCCTAAGAATGCTTTACTCCTTAACATCTTACGGGACATTTTAAGAGGCTCTTGACTTAGCAACTGTCAGGTAACAACACATGGATTTCTCCCAGGATTCTTTGGTTTCAGATAACAAAGGCTAAGATGTGGTTACTCTGTCTGGGGTAAGGAAGGGCACTGTGGTGTAAAAGCTCCTGCCCCTCCTGCATTGCTCCAATCTCACTCTGATGGGCTTTAGTGTGGAGACTTCTCTTTGAGGTAGAATTGGTACCTCTGGGAGAAAAGGATTGTGCATTTCTCTTAGGTCTTTTCAATGATCCACCAATACAAAATGCCCTTCCCCACAGATTTCATGAGAAGGGACTGAGGGAAGAGAGACAAAGCAAGACAGACAAAATATTACGTGATGAGCTCCAGGATGTCCCTCTGAACATCCCAGGAAGGTGTTCATGGATTACGGCAAAGAGGACAGAAAAGAAGGGTGGGGGGGAAGGAGGCACTGGTGCAAATAGCACTGAATGACAACCAATAGCCAGCTCGCGACTGTACCACCAGTGTTACTGCTACAATTGGAGGCAACATCAATGCCAGAAAATGGGTTAAATGTAAAAACAGCCCAAGAATAAGCCACCAACTGCTTCGCAGCAACCCCATCAACAATAAATAATCAGCAGAGTGGGCAGTGAGTCAAAATGAGTTCCTATTTAAAGAGCAGCAGAAACGAGGACTTCTGGAAAATCAGTGGAAATTCAGCAGTTGGGTTGGCTGGAATCAGCTTTTTGAGGAAAGGTGGCCATATTGGTGGCTCCACCTGCAAGTTGTTGGCAGCAGAGGTTGGTACCTGCTAATCCAGCTCCTGATTTCAATAGGTGTTTATGAAAAGGCTAAAGGACTGTCCTCTAAACATTCTTTTCACCAAACAAAATTTACACAGAGCCTCAAGGTTGCCTTGAGGTCACCTTGGCACTACTGAAACATGAAGGGAATGGGTGAGGAAGACAGAAGAGGGGAGATGGCCAATAGGATGAGTCAGAAAGGAAGAAGGGGAGGGCACATCTGCAGCAGAGGTTTTAATGTTAATGTAAAATACTGAGGCTAAGGGGAAAATTTGTTCCAGATAATTCCTGAAGGATAAAACTAGCTTATGTATCCTGCCAATGAAGCAGGTGGGAAACTTTCCCTCTCAGAACCAGACTGAGACTATGAAAACAGAGACTAAATGGCAGAAGCCTCTTATATCTTCCTCTGCTCCCCGCATGCCAAAGGTAGGCTTTTGAAAGCTCCATGGAATTAGACAAAAGCTCCAAGTGAAATCAGGGGAGCTAAAGTCATTTAATCAGGGTTCCTCCCAAGAACCCAGTATTGCTTCATTTGCAAAGGACTCCAGTCGTGACCTGTAATGGTGTTCAGCCATTTGAAACTCTGAACTGAACAAGGAGGCAGTCCTCGGTGCCTGACTCCCCAGAGTGAAGGGCTCACTTCTGCTGGTCCCGAAAACCAGCCAGCCTGTCATTTCAGGTTCCTCAAAGCCAGGCAGGTGGCATTTTATTCTTGGGCCTTTGGGTAGAGACAGGATTAGTTAAGGAGAGCATTTGCACAGCGCACAGTACCGGGAAGTCGTTAATTGCTTGTATGGACCAACGTCGCCGGGCAGAGCGAGGAGACATCTGTGCGTGAAAACGTTACACCCAGGAGGAGGGAAGAAAAACACCAAGAAAATTAAAAGGGAAAAATATAGAATAAAATGAAAGCTTCCCACACATCTGATGGATTAAAAGGTATATATACTGCAAAACCGGAATTGGAATGACGAACACTTGTGAACCTCAGCACAGCAGTTTCTGGATTTCCTTGCCTCCCCCCACGCCTTCACCTTCTAAGCCCACCTTCAGTTTCATCCATCTTCAGTCACATTTCAGGCATACCGAGGCTAGTGTCAACTCTGACAAAGAAACTACGAGAAGGTCCGAGGTAGGAAGGACTATGGTCATAGTGCCAGGGAGGAACAGGAGAAGATTCTTCCCCTCTGACAGGTGAGAATGAGAACGTGTTCAGAGTATATTCTCATTCCCCAAATGGAAGACATTCTTGAAAACCAATTTGGGGGAGGGTGTGGTTGGGGGGAAGAAGGGAAACGGGTGTCATGACACGGGGACTGCAGGACTATTTTCAGAGCAAGGTCGGGGAGAAGGGAGAGCCCTGGAGAACTAAGGGGAAGGTGGGGAACTAAGCTGAGGAGGAACATTCTTGCTAACAAGAGCATCTGAGCATGGAACTGGGAGAAAACGACACTGATTATGGAGATCTGTAGTTACTCTGCTAACTGAAAGACCTCCCCAGTTATTTACATCAGAGCTATTTTGGTAACATAAACCGAAACAAAGATGAGAGGCTGAGAATTTTTTTTTTTTAATGTCTGTAGGGCAACCTAATATTTACCTTAAGTTCTGGGCCTTCTGATTTATTCTAAGCATGCATGATATTTTATCAGTGATTAATAACTGGTCTACTTGCCAACTTCATTCATGTTAGCATCTCTGTGCTTTCTGAATTCCTATGAAATTTGAGAGGTATTTAGGTCTCTTAACATTTTTAAGTTTTTAGGAGCAATCCTTGGAATTCCATCTGGAGAATACAATCCAACCTAAGTAGGTCAGGTTGAAAACACAAGAGAAGCAAACAGTCGTTTCTAAATGGCTCTATAAATATCTTTTGCAATCTCAAAAACACCCTGTAGCCAGGTGTGGTGGCGCATGTCTGTATCCCAGCAGCTCAGGAGGCTGAGGCAGGAGGATTGAAAGTTCAAAGCCAGCCTCAGCAACTTAGTAAGGCCTTAAGTAACTCATTGAGACTCTGTGTCTAAATAAAATACAAAAAAGGGCTAGGGATGTGGCTCAGTGGTTAAGTGCCCCTGGATTTGCTCCCCAGGCATACAGAGGCTAATGTCAACACAACTCTGACCAAAAAACTACTCTCTCCACCAAAAAAACCCTGTAATTCCTTCATTTCTAGGTCATAAAATTGGCATATTCTTTTTTTTTTTTTTTTTTTTTTTTGAGATGGGGGTCTCGCCTTGTTGCTGAGGCTAGTCTTAAACTTTTGTTCCTCCTGTCTCAGCCTCCTAAGTAGCTGGGATAATAGGCATATGCCACCATGCCTGGAACAGGCATATTCTACTCCTTCATTCTCCTTCATTTATTTTATTTTATTTTTTTAGTATCAGGGATTGAACTTAGGGGCACTCACCCACTGAGCCACATTCCCAGCCCTATTTTGTATTTTATTTAGAGATGACAGGGTCTCACTGAGTTGTTTAGCACCTCACTTTTGCTGGAAGTGGCTTTGAACTCGCAATCCTGCCTCAGCCTCCTGAGCAGCTGGGATTACAGGCGTGTGCCACCACACCCGGCCATTCTCCTTCATTTAAAACTCTTGTGGTAGAGATCTAAAAGGGAATAAAGGTATGAAGGAGAAAAAAATGGGGCACCAAAATATGTGGTAAACTGAAAAGTTTCCAGGACAAAACAATAAAGTGATACTATTTGACAGGTGAAACTAGACTCCTGCGGACTAGAAAATGACCCTCAAGATGCATGGGCCTCTGGTAGGAAGACAAAGCCGCCTGTGTAGGACATTGTGGAGTATTCCACTGCTTTAATTCCCCCTCTGCCCTATTTAAATAGGACGGACATAAACAAGCTTCAAGGAAGGTAAGTTTATTTCAAATTCATCACAAAATAATGACTTACTCATTCTTGCCTTCTTAAGCTAATACGTTGAACCACACAAAACTATTCTTTAGATCCAAAATGATCAAATATCAGCAATTTCAAATAATTTACCCTAGTAATGATTACACATCATCCATTAAAATGTGTTTCCCCTCCCCAGGGCCTCTGAGGGTCTTAAGATGTTCTATTACATGCTTAAGATCTGTGAACTTTTCTATATAATATTTTATACATCAGAATAAAAATTTCCTGTGAGATTATAATCATAGCAACCTCCCATTTTAAATGGTCACTACTTAAAATAAAACTTAAATACCACTAACTATGTCAGACAAGGGTACTATAATGGCCCATCTTCTGTGGAGAAGCTGCACACCAAACTGAAATATCACGTTCCATCCTCTATCCCCAGCAGATACTATCTGCTAGTTTGCAGATGCTTTGGTCCCTCTTTATGATAGTGGTGGAGTAAAAAGGGCCAGAGCATTGTAAACAGTAATGTAGGCTTTACCACTACTTCTGCAGGAGGAGAGGTCCCATCTGGGAACAGAGTTACCTTGACTACACACAGGCTTTCCACACTATCACAAAGTCAAAAGCACTAGTCACTCTACTCTGCCCAATCCCAACCCAAGCATGGTAACACATGGCATAAACTGAGAGGAATTCAGAATCGCCCTGGCCCTGATGTCAAAAAAATTCTCACCTAAGGACTGGCGGGTATAGCTCAGTGGGAGAGTGCTTGCTTTGCATGTAGGAGGCTGGTTTGATCCCTAGCACTACAAAAATAAATAGGAGTCACATATATTTAACCATGAGTTTATATGGCTTGTATGGCAATAAAATGTCTAGTTCTAAGCAATTTATCAAATCATCTATCCAATTACATGCTAACTTGTAGAAAAAGAGCTAAGAATTTTTAATGTAAAGAGCTGGGGGAAGACATAGTTTGGAAGATGTTCCAGGGAAGTCTGTGCCAGCCAGGAGCTGTGTGGAAGGGGACTGTAGAAAGCTGGACAGGAGGCAATAGAAAGTCATTTTCCCTATTTAACTGAGTGGTTTACCTAGGACTGGTCAGATCAGTTGCTGCCATTTGTTTCAGTCACAAGTAACCCTGAGACTAATTAAAGGCAGAGCTGGCCAGGCTAGCAGTACAAGACAACGGTGGACAGTATCCTGCAACTGGAGTGAAGGCACTTCTAATACCTGATAGAAATTCATTTTTTTAAATATTTAAAATCATTAAATTTTTTAAAAAAGCAAATTTTAGTTAGAGACGATTCACTATTTCTCATTTAGTGGGGGAAAACAACAAAGAATTCCTAAGCGCTGAGTTTATGCAGTAGCTCAGTGATAACTCTTTACCACATCATGTCATCAGCTAAAGCCTGTCATGCCAGATTCTCAATCTGACAACCCAAAAGAGTTCTTTTAATCAATTATTCCAAAGCTCTGCCACCATTCTCTCCACTGTTGTGACCCAAGATTCTTGCCAGCACAAGAAGAACTGCTTTCAGGACAGTGAGTTCCTTAAGAACTCCAGAACATAAGGATAAGATCAGGTGGATTTTGTATAAACCAATGTATTCCATTGGGAACTTAAATGTATTTTTAGCAGAAGAAGCTTTTAGAGATGAACTTTAAAACTCTCACAACTGTGAAATTCCCACTATGTCAGATTCCAAGCCTTCAGAACATCCCTTAATCTGTTGACAAACATCAGAATACCAACAAAGACCGGAGGCTTAATTATTCTAACTGAAATAATGGGGATCAACTCAATGAATGGGGAATCCAAGGACTGGGTTAAATAGGGAGTGAAGAACACGGACTGTAAGTACACTGACCCCTCCCTCCAACTTACAGTCAACGAAAAGGAGCAAAGCAATGGCCTTTGAACAAACTATGAGAGTGAGAGCTATAAAGGGACTACTAACTTGGCTGCGGTGGGCAGGCAAACAGTACAATCCAGGAGAAGGGGAAGAAACAAAGGCCATGGCTCTGGCACTTACCCGCTCCTTGTAGTAGAAGGAGCTGATGGAAACCTGCTCTTTCTCGCTGCGTGTGGGGCTCCCGCTATATAAGCGAAGGTTCCCAGGGGCCTCTGTGCGAATCTTCATTGGTGCGATCAAACCAGTATGATAAGCAGACAAGGCGGAGAGAGATCTGCAGTTGACAATGAGAATTATCTACATTGGCTGTTTTTTTCCGCCCCCATATCTGTAAGTAGTGCTATGCACAGCACTTGCTGAAACCAAGAGGAAAAGACATGGGAAGAAAAAGGAAAATTCCAAAAAAAAAAAGAACCAAGCAAAACTTTTAGAGCTGAAAATGCTTTATCTGCACAAGCACAGGATACTCCAATGTTTGTATACACAAAAAAAGCTTTAAATAACTAGAACTAATTGGTAAATTTAGATTCAAGATCAATTTATTAAAAATATACTGTATTTCCATATATTAGAAACATCTAAAAAATAAACAATTTTTAAAATTTTACTTACAATAGCATCAAAATACAACAAATACCTAGGAACAAACCTAGTTTTTAAAAAATGTGCATTAGAAATGTGAAGCATTAGGCATCACAATACCAGACCTTAAACTACAGAGCAATAGTAACAAAAATGGCATGGTACTGGCACCAAAACAGACATGAAGACCAATGGTACAGAATAGAGAACACAGAGACAAACCCACATAAATATGGTTATCTCATACTAGACAAAGGTGTCGAAAACATACATTAGAGAAAAGATAGCCTCTTCAACAAACTGAAAATCCATATGCAGCAAAATGAAATTAAACTTCTATGTCTCACCTTGCACAAAACTCAACTCAAAGTGGATCAAGGGCCTAGGAATTAGACTAGAAACCCTGCACCTAACAGAAGAAAAAATAGGCCCAAATCTTCATCATGTCAGATTAGGCCCCGACTTCCTTAACAAGACTCCTAAAGCACAAGAAGTAAAATTAAGAATCAATAAATGGGATGGATTCAAACTAAAAAGCTTATTTCCAGCAAAAGAAACAATCAATGATGTGAAAATCAGTGATGTGAAGAGACAGCCTACAGAGTGGGAGAACACCTTTACCACACACACATCAGATAGAGCACTAATCTCCAGGATATATAAAGAACTCAGAAGACTTAATACCAAAAATCAAACAATCCAATCAATAAGTAGGCTAAGGAACTGAACACTCTCAGAAGAAAATACACAAGTGATCAACAAATATATGAAAAAGCGTTCAATATCTTTAGTAATTAGAGAAATGCAAATAAAAACTACTCTAAGATTTCATCTCACCCCAGTGAGAATGTCAGTTATCAAGAATACAAGCAATAATAAGTGTTGGTGAGAATGTGGGGAAAAAGGGACACTCATACATTGCTGGTGGGACTGCAAAATGGTGCAACCATTTCAGAAAGCAGTGTGGGGAGATTCCTCAGAAAACTTTGAATCCAACTTCCATTTGACCCAGCTATCCCACTCCTTGGTCTATACCCAAAGGACTTAAAATCAGCATACTACAGGGACACAGCCACACCAATGTTTATAGCAGCTGAATTCACAATAGCTAAACTGTGGAACCAACCTAGATGCCCATCAATAGATGAATGGATAAAGAAACTGAGGTATATATACACAATGGAATATTATTCATCATTAAAAGAGAATAAAATCATGGCATGTGCAGGTAAATGGATGGAGTTGGAGAATATCATGCTAAACGAAGTAAGCCAATCCCAGAAAACTAAAGGTCGAATATTTTCTCTGATTAATGGATGCTGATCTATAATTGAGGGAGGGGGGCTTGGGAAGAATGGAGGAACTTTGGATTGGGTAAAGGGGAGGGTGAGGATGGATTATGAGGGTAGGAAAGATGGTGGAATGAGATGGACATCATTATCCTAGGTACATGTATGACTACACGAATGGTACATCTCTACACCGTGAACAATCAGAGAATTGAAATGGTGTGTTCCATTTGTGTATGATCAATTGAAATGCACTCTGCTGTGATATGCACCTAAGTAGAACAAATAAAAAATAATAATTTTTTAAAAAGATGTCAGTTTTCTCTAAACTCATCTACAGAGTTAATACAACCTCAATCAAAATATAAGCAAGGTTCTGTTTTGTTTTTTTTTAAGAAACTAAGCTAATGTTATAATTTTGTGAGAAGACCTATAATAACCAACAAAAAAACTAAATAAGAATAATAAACTTGGAGGACTCTTGCCATCGGGTGTGAAGACTCTACACAAAGCTACATCATGAGTATAGTGTTAGCATAAGGAGAGACAAAGCGACCACTGAAGGAAAAGACAGTCCAAAAACTGACCACAGATAGGTTGTCCGTTGATTTTCACCAAAGGTATCAATACCAATTCAACAAAGAAAGCTTTACACAGATAGTGCCAGAACAACCACTTCTCTCTACTGAACAAAATAAACTTTGACCCTTACCCATCATCCACACAAAAAAAATGAGAGATGGATCACAGATATTAAATAAGGAATTTAAAACTGTAAACTTTTCAAAAGAAAACAAGAGAAGGATATTTTTGTGACCTTGGGGTAGGGAAAGATTTTTTTGATGAAACACAAAAATCACTAACAAAGTAAAAAAGTAATAACCTGGGCATCATCGAAATAGAACACTGCTATTCTTTGAAAACCATTAAGGAAGGAGAAAGACAAGCCACAGAGGAGGAAAAATCAATAAACACTTCCAGCAAAGGACCTGCAACCAAAATAGACAAGCACCACAAATAAATAAGAAATACAGTCAAGGAAAAAAGTGCATGATACCTGAAGAGACACCTGGCAAGAGAAGATGGTAAGTAAGTACATAAACGCTGCTCGGCATCATTAGTCGTCATCACGGAAATGTAAATTAAAACCAGGAGGTAACATTTCATGCCCACCACAACCACTGAAGTTGAAGAGATTAGCAATGCAAAGTTTTAGAGAGATCGTAGAGCAATAGGTGCTCTGAACATCACTGATGTGAGGGCAAAATGACACAACCACTGTGTACCAACTTTCTGGTAATTTCTAATAAAATTAAACATACACCTATCTTATGACACAGCAATTCCACTCCTTGGGCAAAGAAACTAATACTTGTGTTCATTAAAAGGACAGTACATAATGGCCCCAAACTGGAAATACTCCAAATGTTCAAGAATAGAGGAACAACCTATATCATGTTCATAAAACCCAATTACTCATAGAGGCAACCACGTGGGTCAACTTTGGGATCACTAAGTCAAGCAACGTAAGCTGGCCATAAAACAGTTCAGCAGTTCACAGTGCATGTCTACCTCAATGACCTTTAGGAACAGACAAAACTCAACTGGGCAATGAGAAACTGGGAAAAGGAATTGGGAATTTGAGGGGCAAGGACAATGCTTCACATCTTAATGTGTGTACTGATAATTATATTTCAATAAAGTACTGCTGGCTGAAAATGTTCCTATAGAACATGTGATCCAAAGTCTAGGTACAGATCTTCACTGTGTCCCTCTGAAAGGAGGTCACTTTTCTGGTCTAACCTTTCCAATATGGAATCTAATGTAAGGCAAGTTCCCTGGTTACTTAACCTCCAGTTCTTATGGGTCAAGAAGATCTCATCTGCCTGGATTAGTGTGGAGCCTGGCAATTTCCCAGTCCAGCAGAGGCATCTGTTCACACACTGCTTGATGATTCTTCCTAACTATGCTGAGCTAACGATACTGTGTGTTCTGCGTTACCCTGGTCACTGCTCTGCAGAACCAGAAGTCTACTGTATGATCTTAAAGTTTAAAAAAACAGTGGTCACAACAGGAAACATAGTCTGAGCACTCCCCATGTACTGGCAGTGTTTCAAAGGCCTTAAAGGGACTTGCTAGTTTAGGCTCCAGAGGAAAGTGCTATCAGCTTCTCCACAGGACCTCTGAAGAAACTAAAACAGTCTAGATAAGCTGCCTGAGCTCAGTGAACCACACAGGGATCCCCCTAGTTCATGGAAAAAGAAAGGAAGGGCTTTCAAACTTGAACCTAAAGCTTCTGCATTGTTTTGAGTTTTCCCAACATACTCCTTATATAACTTATTAAAATTACATGTATTTTGATAATGTTAGACATGGTATATCAGTGTTGTGGGACTACAGATAATCTTTACGTTGTTTTTTTTTTTTTTCAGTTTAACAGTAAATCAAATACCAAAAATTTTAAAATAATAATAAAGTAATAACAATAGGGAAAACATATATTAACAAAGGATTTGCCTTGTTTCGGCAATAGTTTTCATAAAGCTGCCCCTTCATGTAGTTTGGCAGTAACCTTATAGCAGAAATCTCAGCTTTTCTGAATTTAATGAACCACCATCTTTCTTGAATGAATCTTACAAAGGGAGTTTACTGAAAAACTAAAACAAACTGTCCAAAGCCAGAGTCAGTGGTCCTTCCCATATTTCTGCCCACTTCTGGCCCCCTGGATATAGACGCAAAAGCATCTTCTAGACTCACCTGGGAGTGGGTTCTGTTGGAGACACTGCTCGATGCATTGTCATGGGCCTTGTGAAATATACCAGGTAACCTGACAAAGGAGACAGCACATGTGCATGTCAGTGGGAAGTGCCAAGACAGGACTGGGCAATCTGTTTTTCTGTCTCAATATACCTGAGGGATAAGACACGATTTTTAAAAATTGCAAAGGCTAATACTGCAGTGACTCTGCACAGGCCCAAAGGTGAGAATCTCCAGGATCTAGGACGGATGGGATATATATGGACTGGATCAAGTCTCCACAGATGCTTTACGTTCCCTATAGGGGACTTATCCTCTGTTAAGAATCAGGGCTCTAAACTAGACTCAAATCCAAGTTCATCAGAATGAAACAAATGAAGACTCCAATTCTGGTGGGATATACTCACAGAAACTAATGTGGCCTCATAGTATAAAATACTACTACAAAGAAGTTCTGAGTTCTTAGGAAATGAAAACAAAGAAGGCTTTTCTAGGGCAGATGTTCATACAGAATACATGACACTCTTGGCTGTATTCCCTTGAAATCCAGAATCAGCAAGTCACAGAGACCAACCTGCTCCACAGAACCTGGCCCCAGAAGTCCTAGGAAAGGGAATATTGGCATCCTGGTATGACCCATAGGCCGTGGTCACCCGCGCAAAAGTTGGCAAAGGTGGTGTGACAGAGTTTGGGAGCGCAAACGGGTTGCTAGAAGCACTGTCTTCTTGGTTCTGAAATTTAAAAATCAACAAACTAAAAACCACAGCCTGTCTTAGAGCTGAGTTACAAAACAGGGGTATGACATTAGAAAGTCAGGGAGCCCAGGATTTTAGGAGAAGATATGAAACAAGACACCAAAGCCTAGGTCGATACACAATTTCATGTTTCCCACCACAAAAGACTCAAGGCAGGAGACGAGCTGGCGCAGGCAGGGCTCCAAACAGCTCTGGTTACGTTTCACTTTTTGCAGGGAAGTGTCCTTCAGGATCTAGAAAAGGCCCAGAACACAGTCAAGAAGAGCATCCCATTTCTCCCGCTTGGCTTTACTCTGCAAAGTGGGGAGAAGCATAATGGTGCAGGGACTGAGGCATGGTTAGGTCTAAGGTTTCCAGGGCAATGCACTCTATCTTCCACAGCCCTTAAGGAGAAGGCCTGAGTCCTGAACCTCCTAGGGAAGCCTTTCCTTGGCCCAAGCGGCCGGCCACACACATACTGGTTCTAGCATGAGAATAGTATTCTTTCTTTCTAGTGAATTCAGGCTCTTTCATCTCTCCTGACCCCACCTCCTTCATGAGAAATCTCAGCACCTTGGAAGTGATACCCACTGGGCTGGACTAAAAACAGCTCTGAGAAAAAGAGCCAGGGGGGAACAGATTTCTCCTCAGCAGAAATTATAATGTGTTTTTATTTTTTTGTTCTTTAAAGTGATAAATCCTACTATTTTAAGATGCATGCCACAGATGTGAACTGACACCCACAATGAAGACAGGCCTATGAACTAGACCCATTGTCCCTACCACCTGAAATGTGCCTCGTCCAAACTCAGAGGCACTGTAAAACTCACAGTGAATGTTGGTACAGAAAAAAGTGTAAAATATCCCAATAAGTTTACGTTGATTATACGTTGATATGATAATATTTTGGATGTGCTAGATTAGATTAAAATATTATTAAAATTAATCCACTGCTTCTTTTAGTTTTTCTTGTGTGGCTATTGGAAAATTTTGAAATTACATGTGGCTTGCATTAACACTGCTATTAGCATTGAATTAGACCTTTAAATTTGACACTTCTCATTTTAAGCCTATCATTTTATACTGACACACATATATATACATATAAATGTATATATGTATATGTATATATATGTGTGTCAGTATAAAATGATATATGTATATGTATATATATGTACTTTTTTTTGTCCAAACTAGGCAATGAAATATTCAGAATCCAAGTTTAAAATGACAAATACCACAAAATCTGAATAATTAGCATTTCAGAGATCTTTAAGCCACTTAAAAATGTCTGATTACATATGATACCACAATAGGATGGAACTATCAAATGAATATGATCCAAAATGGGTAAAGATAAGCTATGTTCAGGTCAGCGTGGGCTTATGAGGACACTTCAGTTCCTTCACTTGTCACACTGCTCAAACTGAGGAATGTTTGCCTCAGTTTGACTCCTAGCACTTTCTGATAGAGGTTCTGCCTGATTAGATCTCACTGACACATTGAGTTGAAGACCAACTGCCAGGCTGTGCCACCTGCAACCACATACCGCTGTCCTTCACACACCTTGCCTGTGCAGCTAGACAGTTTATCTCTAAGCTAACCCTGGTTCCTTCTACGGGATGGAAAATATTTTTAATGACTATATACATTTTTTTCTGATTATCAAATATCTTTTAGCTTCAGAATGTCTTGCCTATTTCTAGATAAACAGAACTCCAGGGTTCTTAACCTAAGATTAGTGCATAGCTTTAGTGATCTCTGTGAGATTACATGCAATTCATATCCTAGTATTCAATATTTCTGAAGTTATATGCAAAATCTGTGCAAATAATTCTGAAGAAGGATCTATAGTCTTCATTAGACATCCAAAGGACATCCATGATTCAGAAAAGATTAAAAATCACTGCTCCAGGGACTGGGGTTGTAGCCCAGTGGTAGAACATTTGCTCAGCACATGTGAGGCAATGGATCTGAGCCTCAGCACCACATAAAATAAATAAATAAAATAAAAATACTGTGTTCATCTACAACTAAAAATATTTTTTAAAAAATCACTGCTCTAACATTGTCTACACAAAGGGATAGGCCAGTGTGTTGCTAATACCACAGCATGCAGGGGACAGACGGCTTCCAAATCTTTGAGTTCCACTTAACTTCACTACTCAGCACAGACACTGATGCACACAGCAGAGCTCTTGTCTTACAAAAGCAAAGAAAATTTGGGAACCCAGATCCCCACCTTCAGCAGCTTAGCTTTCATGGTCGATGTGATGGTTGTGGGGTTAATAAACTGGAAGGAAGGGGCGGCATTGTTAGGGTACTGAGCTGGGAACTTCACCAGCATCTTGACACGGTGGCTGCTGCAGTGCGCGGACACCGTGCAGCTCCTATCTGCAGCGTCCATCTGCAAGACACAGACCCACAACTTCTTAGCAGGCAAACTGCAAGGTTTTCAGATGTAAATGAACTTTTTATTTTTATTTCTTTTTTTCTTTTTTTTCTGTGGTGTGGGGATCAAACTCAGGGCCCTACACAAGCTAATCAGGTTCTCTTCCTACTACTGAGCTATACCCCCAGCAAGATGCAATTAGATGTAAATAAGCTACCTGAATGTTCCACGTTCCTGATAAAGGGAGACAGTCCACAAAGACAAATGAGTTTGGAAACAACCTGTTTTCAAAATAGATTTTAAAATCTTAGTACTGCCTTAATGAATTCAAAGTATTTTTACTTAAAAAGCTTCAACCCAAAGCTTTGAGGTTAACTAAAACTTGTTGGATTTACTTTGAGATGAGAAAATAAAGCAGGAAGAAGTTAAAATGAATAACCTGATTCAACATAGAAAGCACTCTGACCTGGGCATGATGGCCACACCTGTAATCCCTGCTACTCAGGAGGCTAAGGCAGGAGAATTGCAAGTTCATGACCAGCCTGGGCAATTTAGTGAGACCTTGTCTCAAAATAAAAAATAAAAAGGGCTGGGGATGTTGCTCAGAGGCAGAGTGCCTCAGTGGTAGGGTTCAATCCCCAGTATCACAAACAAACAACAACAACAAAAAAACAGTATTTCTTAGAAAATCCATAGACAGGGCTGGGGATGTGGCTCAAGTGGTAGCGTGCTCGCCTGGCATGCGTGCGGCCCTGGGTTCGATCCTCAGCACCACATACAAATAAAGATGTTGTGTCTTTATTTATTAAAAAAAAAAAAAAGAAAATCCATAGACATAGAGCAGATGAATGGCTACCAGGGCTGGAAAGAGAGCCAATGGAGGTGACCCCAAATGGTTACAGGAAGTTTTTTTTCAGGATGATGAAAATATTCTGGAAATAGACAGTGGTGAAAGGTTGCACAACTTTGTGACTACACTAAAAACCACTAATCGCATACTTTAAAAAGGCAAATTGTATTGTGTGATATGTGAATTATATCTCAATAATTTTTAAGACGTACTCCTGAGGAAAAGAACCAAGACCTTCTTCTTAAACCAGATCACTAGGTTAGCCACACTGTTCTCCACTGGGCCAAAGGGCATATATGGGTGGAGTTGATGGAGATGGCCAATTAATCAAAACATACTTTAGATCTGTTGATTTCTTGTGCTGCCAACTAAAGAAGGCAGCCGGAAAGCAGTGAAAAGAGCCAAATACATGGGAAATCTGGAGTTGGATTCCAACATTATCTCTTCCACCAAACAGCTGCTGACCTTGGACAAATCATTCATCTCTGGTGTCTTGATTTCCTCATTTGTAAAGTGAGGTAAAACCACTCATTACAGAATGGTTTTAAAGGTCAAGTGAGATAATTATGTAACAACACATCTTTCTGCCTACAGTTAACTAAATCTGGGCAAAAGAAAAACCAATCAAGCTTTAAAACCGCTTCCTGTATACTCAGTTCTCTGAAGCAAAGAGTTTCAATATCTGTCTAAAAGGAAAAGGGTAAATTGGTCCAAGTGCTAAGTAGTGAAGAGGTTTGAGTGGCCCTTTTACTCTGAATCTAAATCACCAAAGAAAGGACCAGCTTGTAAGAGAAGGGAATACAGCACAGCACAGCCCAAAGGGCTGGGAGAGTCAGGAGGTTTGGCTTCCAAGGTCAGCTGTGCCCTTAACTTCCCCAGTAACTCCTGGAGCAAGCACCCATGTATAGTAAAAGGAGGTACTGGACCAACAGAGGAGGTGCTAAGGTACATGACTTCTGCTCATTTCAGGAGAAAAGAACAGGATCAGAAAAAGAGTTTGCATTTGTGAAACACCTACGTCTTTAGAAAATCCAGAAATTAAGCAAGGAGTAGAGAGTTTTAACTGTAAGAACAGAAAAGCCCATTTGCTAGCTAAAATCATAGTTGAAATAGTCCCCACCCCCACAAACATCCATCAGCAAGCATGAGGCACTGTTCAGTAAGCTACAACTTACCTCTACATTGACATTCCGGATTTGCACGTTGATCAAGGAGAACTCCTGTTGCAGAGTCTGAGGCAGACCCAGCTGATCTGACTTCCTGTCTTCCAGGAGACTGTTAGGGGGATCTTCCTTTACCACTGGCAGAAAAGATGATCAATGTTGGAAAATGTTTTTGATGAGTAGGTTCTGGAGTATTTACTGTACAATTTGTGGCCCCTCCCCTAAGACATCAGTCTGACACATTACCTTCTTCCTCTCCATGGCTTGAGTTATGCTGGTGATCTGAATCTTGAGTGTGCAGGGTCTTCTCTGGTTCTGGCAGAAGAGAAATGCTCTCAATGAACTCATCAACACCATCTAATATGTCATTGGCACAGAGCTGCAACAAAGGGTAGAAGATGAGGGACCAAAGGATCAGTGGAAATGATCAGTCTGCCTGGCTAAGAGCTTTGATTTAAAAAATGGGACTCATACAGGATAGATGTGTCAGCCAAGAACTGGTAGAATCAAAATAGTTTGTGACTATCACCAACTCCCCCTGGTTAAATACACAGGATAACACCCTATTATTCTACTCCAGACATTCAGAGTTTATGAAAGGCTCAGAGAAAATTAAATTCCAATAATGGAGTTATTCAACTAATCCATAATGATAACCTCAAAGCATCTGAGCAAATGACACCTTTTGGAGAAAATAGGTTGAAAAGGCAATAATGTGATGGGACCAGGCCAAAATGCTCAACGGTGATTTTATTCTAAGCAAAATTACAAAATTTCCATTAGTTCTATGCAAAGTGGTGTTCCAGGTGCATGGAGGATGCAATACCAGTCAGGCACATTTCTCCCCACCAAGAGATTAAGCCACTGAAGGAGGAAAAGAGAGCCCCATGACAAGGCAGAGTTGAATGAGTCACAAGAGCAATTCATGCCAGTTACCACTGTGGTTTATGCAACAAACAAATATCACATTTGGAAATAGCTTCATAGAAAAGGTTGTGTTGATGGAAGAAAGGACTCTGAATGTCCACAGAGAACAAGGGTAGGCTTCTTAGCCCATTAAAGACAACGAAATGAAGCCAATGGCCACTTACTCAGTGTGTACCCATCCTATCTTGTACTAGGACAAGAGGAAAAAAATATTGACAGGCTCTTCAGCCTCAAAGTGCTAAACACTTTAGTTCTTAAAGATCTCAAAGCCGGGGCTGGGGATGTGGCTCAAGCGGTAGCGCGCTCGCCTGGCATGCGTGCGGCCCGGGTTTGATCCTCAGCACCACATACAAACAAATGTTGTGTCTGCCGAAAAACTAAAAAATAAATATTAAAATTCTCTCTCTCTCTCTATTAAAAAAAAAAAAAAGATCTCAAAGCCAGTATGGCATGTATAAACCATTCAGCCAACCAGTCATGTGTGTGAGGTGTATATCATGTATCCTCTACCTTCACAAATACTGGAAGTTTCTGCTGTTGTTAACTTTCTAGTTTATCCAGCTATACACCTCCACTAAAGCACTGAATACATACCCTTTGCATCTGGTAATCCACTCGCCACATTCTCAAAGTCTGATCCCGGGACCATGTAACCAGTTGGTAGTCCTTGGAACCTAGAAATCACCAAATAAAAATCATAAACTAGGCATGGTGACACATGTTTATAATCCCAGTGACTTGGGAGGCTGAGGCAATAGGATCACAAGTTTAAAACTAGCCTTAGCAACTTAGCAAGGCCCTAAGTAACTTAGTGAGACCCTGTATCAAAATTAAAAAATAAAAAGGGCTGGGGATGTGGCTCAGTGGTTAAGCACCTCTGGGTTCAATCCCTGATACCCCCCCGCCAAAAAAGAATCCTAAAAATACTTCTGAATTTGACATCTGTTTTCTTATAGGTCACAACAGAATGAAATTCATTCATAGGTATATAATACAAATAAATATTTACTACACATTTCCTCTACACCAGGCACTGTTTAGGCAGCAGAACAATAGCATGAGTAAAATAAACTCTATCATTAGAGATCTCACATTCCAACCGTGGAAAAAGTAAATAAATATGTAATAAAATGGTAGTGCTAACTGCATAAAAAAAAAAAAAAACACAGGATAAGAGGACAGAGAGAGAGTTATTTTTAGAGAGGCCTCCCTAAGGAAGTCCCATTTCAGCAGACACTTAAATGAAGTGAAATAATAACTGGCAAATTAGCAGTTGGAGATGATGCTGAGATTTAATGTCACACTAAACTTTCACCTCTGCAAGTATTCTTCCTTTTATATTATAGGCCCCTTGGGAGCTGGGGGTGAATAAAGTTTTTGTAAAAATTGATTGTTTTAAATGCATGATAACATCTTACTATTCAAAAGAATTTTTTTGGTAAAGTGACACATCTCTTTAAAAAATGAATAATCAATTTTTAATTTTCTTAATTGACTGAATCAGATTTTCACATATCAAGTCTGGTCCAAAAGAAATTATTCCAAAAAGGTTCAGGGTCCTTTTTGAAAGATCAGAACACTCAGGGTAATTATGCAGCATTTAGAATCTCCTCCATGGCTAACTAAAGACAGCAAAGAATCCAGAAATAATTTCATCTAGTTCTCTCACTTTATGGATGGAGAAACTGAAGCACGGTATGTCCAAGGTAATAGGGTGGGTGAGCAAAAAACATGGCTCAGTTCTCTTCCTTGTAAGTTCCTTTTCTGTGCCACTCCCTTCAACCAAAACTCATTCCCCTAGGCACATCTAACAAGACAGCAACTATTCTGAACTTCTGTGGAGTTCCACCATCTAGTCTCATGCTGATGGTCATCAATTTTCTGACCCTACAACTGGCCTCTCTGCATGCTCCTGACTAAGGAAAAGATAAGCGGAAGTGCTCTGTAAACCCAGCTCTTCTATCTGTACCTTCTACCCCATTCCCATCCCGTTGCCAAAAGGCCCTGCTAGCTCACTGACTTCCTTTCTCTCATCTTCTCCCTGACTTCAAAGAGAGAGGCAGGAGGCTCCACCAGCAGGCTCATTTCACTCTTTGCCTTTGAAGGTAGCAAAACTGGTTCCTGCTGCCTGTTTATGGCACCTCAAGATCTGGCTCCCGGACTCAAACTGCTTTGGCATTCCCCTCTTAATGATCACGTGATTTCCTTTTCATTGAACTATAAAATGCTTTTCTCCTACTCTGCATTTTGACCCTTCAGCAATACCCACAGTCAATGCCTACCACTTCCTCCAGGATGCATCCTTTGCCCTTGGCCACAACATCTGATTCTCTTCCTACCTCTTTTTTTTTGAAGGGAGGAGATAATTTTTTTTATACCTTTGTTTTATTTATTCATTTTTATGTGGTGCTGAGGATCAAACCCAGGGCCTTGCACGTGCTAGGCAAGCCCGCTAAGCCACAACCCCAGCCCTTCCTACCTCTTTGAGAGATCCTTCCTCTCGGAGAAAATCAAAATCAAAGCATGAGGTGATTCAATAAAAACTGACTAAGAAGACAGAGAAGTAGAAATAAATCAGAGCAATATTAGATTGGGAAGGAAGTAAATATAAAAACACATTAAAGGATAATAAATTTAGAAAAGGTTCAAAAAGAGGCAAACCTAAACTATTCTTAGGAATTCATAAATAGGTGGTAAAACCATAAAGGAAAAAATAGAAATTGCTATCCTAAATGTCAAGATGAGAGGAACGTGATCAGGAAGACTCTGGGATCCTGGCAATGTTCTTTCTGGACTGTGATGGAATTTACACGGGTTTTCACTTCATAACTATTAAATTGTTCATGTTCAATGTAATTTTCTAGATTTCACAATAAAAACGAACTTTAAAAAAACCCTATAATTTAAAACGAAAATTTCAGTAATAGTTAGAAAGTTCCCACCACTTAAAGATGACATAGATAACTAAAAATGGGTTGTTAAAAACTATTTATTTGAATCCAAAACTACAGTCAACCTTTCCTGACAGATTATAGGGTGATTACATCATCTATTTCCTATGGCAAAATGCAAGAGATTTAAGTCAAAAGCCAAAAGCCATGCACACAATTGGTGGGGTAAAGATCAGGAAGCATGTTGTTTCTGGAAGCAACAGAGATTTTGGAGAAAAGAATAAGAAAGTTAAGAGGATGATGAAGAGTCTCTCTAAAAAAATATTCTGGGGGGCTGGGGTCATGGCTCAGTTGGTAGAGTGCTTGCCTAGCATGTGAGACACTGGGTTCAATTCTCAGCACCACATATAAGTAAATAAATAAAGGTCAATCAACAACTATAAATAAATAAATATTCTGGAAGGCCAAACAACAGTCTTCTTTCCCACCCACCTTCCTTCTGTCTCCTCCACTGGAACTCCAGCACCACGTCATCGTGTCCCACAAAGGTGTGGACGGGAGTGTTCAAATCAAAGACATTCCACAGGAGCAGACTATTTTCCCTCCGCAACTGGGGAACCATCACAGTCACTAATCCATTGCTGAAAGGCTACGGCAAGAAAGGGAAAAGTGGTAATTATTCCAGGGACAATCAGCCAAGTCTCAGCTTCTAAAGGTGGGATTCTTCCTAAATAAAATACATTACATGATGGAAGGCGCCAACCCATGTAGGGGAATGACCGTCACACTTAGCCTTCGCTCTGCTTATGGAAGAGACCACAGCAAGTGAAAAATAAGAGAGAACTTTGGAAACTTTTGGAGAACTTTCAAAATTCTACAACAAGCAATGCTCTAAGTACTGTGTCAAAGCCAAGTTACCCTCCATGAGTTCCCTCTCAAAAATAAGCACATGAGTCTGCCTGGGAAAAGCCGTGGAGTAGCAATCATTCCGGCTGTGTGGAAAGGCCAGAAGCACACCATTCACAAGAAGCATCACCTTCCACTGCTCCAGTACTACAACTACTGAAAATTAAACTCAGTAACCTCAAGACTGATGTGCTTTACCTAGCAACACTCAATCTGCTAGGGACCTAAGAGGCCCATCTGGTTGGTAACTAGATTGTGTTAGTCAAGGAATAATAAGGGCACATTCATTTATCTTCATTTCCTCTCCTGGTAACACACCTGGACTTATTCTGTTTATTTTTAAAAGCAAACATTAATCCAGAGCAGTGTATCAGCTCATAAGAACAGTGTCTGATTTCTTAACAAATGTTCCCAGATGCAAAAACAACTTAAGACCCAATTATCTTCACTACTCCCCAATGCCCCACAGTGACAGCCTAATGAATAAAGACAGCTTTACTCACCCCTATGACATTAAAGGAAATATATTAACTCCCATCAGTGGCTATCAATGTGGCCACTGAAAAATGGTTGGTGAGTTGGTAATAGCCTACCATCTTTACATACAGTATTTCATGATTATTAAGCATATTCACATACATTATCTCAAAAGGAAGGTAGATTGTGAACATACTAAATGTCACCAAATTATCCACTTTAAAATGGTAAATTTTTCTTTTAAGGTGAAAACTTAGGAAGAGTTTTCTTGTAAGAAAAATGTCAGAAAATAAATCAACAAGATACAGCACAGGGGTGCTACTAGACACAACAAGTACCCTGAACATTAGAAATGACATTTTGACAGCTAATAGGTCCCAGAGAACAAAATTTATTGTTATAATTTGAACAACATTAGTTCTAAATTATACTTTCCCTGAAATACCATTGACTTAATACAGTGGCTACATTTATGAAGTCATTTCAGAATCTAGCCTGCGTTCACATTGCAGAAAGAATTTAATTATAATGATTGTGGGAAATCCAGTCAACCTTAATTAAACATGATATTGCAAAGTAAGGATAATGCTAAAATATTTGATGGGGAAAAGGTTACAAACTGAAAATTTTTATGACAGGTACTGACAAGCTCAAAAACAGACCCACACACTATGCCTTACAACTCCTGACATGGTCAGACACAGGACCTTTTCATTTTGCCCCTCACTGACTTTATTTTACTGCTTATGACTTATTTTTTAAAATTCTAATCTGTTATATATGACTCCAGTACGCATTACAATTCATATTACACATATAGCGCATAATTTTTCATATCTCTGGTTGTATACAAAGTATATTCACACCATTCGTGTCTTCATACATGTACTTAGAGTAATGATGTCCATCTCATTCCACCATCTTTTTTACCCCCATGTCCCCCTCCCTTCCCTCCTACCTCTTTGCCTTATCTAGAGTTCGTCTAATCCTCCCATGCTCCCCCTCCAAACCCCATTATGAATCAGCCTCCTTATATCAGAGAAAACATTCAGCATTTGGTTTTTTGGGATTGGCAAACTTCACTTAGTATTATATTCTCCAACTCTATCCATTTGCCTGCAAATGCCATGATTTTATTCTCTTTTAATGCTGAATAGTATTCCATTGTGTGTGTGTGTGTGTGTGTGTGTGTGTGTGTGTATGTGTATATATATATATATATATATATATATATATATATATATATATATATATATATTTTTTTTATCCATTCATCTACTGAAGGGCATCTAAGTTGGTTCCACAGTTTAGTTATTGTGAATTGTGCTGCTATAAATATTGATGTGTCTTTGTCTCTATAGTATGTCTCAGCTTCTAAAGGTGGGATTCTTCCTAAATAAAATACATTATGTGATGGAAGGCTCCAACCCATGTAGGAGTAGGATAGCTGGGTTAAATGGTGGTTCCATACCCACCTTTCTAAGGAATCTTAAAATGGTGAATTTCAGTATAATAAAGAAGGAAGACATAGTAAAAATCATTCTTCAGATTCTACAGAGTATAAAATTTCCACTCAAAATCAACTGGCTGGTCCAAGACTCACACAAACATTAAATGGCAGAGCTGGGCCTCAACCTAGGTCTTCTGAATCTAAAGTCAGAGCTCCTTCCTTCATAGTTCACTGGCTTCCAGCTCCTCAACCCTCTCCTCCGTCTTCCCCATGGCCCTCCCTAGTGAACACATTCACACCACCCAACTTCTCCGTTGAGCTAGGTGGTCAGCAATTCTAAAGCAGAACCTATCCAACATTCCAAGAGTAAATTTTAAGAAGTTAACAGCATTTATGCCATCATTACTATATTTACTGTGCCCTAAACCAAGACAGAAGAGAAAAGTGCCTCATGAAGAAAATAAAGAGAAAATGTCCCTTGGCCCCTTGTGTATAGAACTCCAACAGGAAGTTCCCCAGCCAGAGGAAGGGTATCTCACTCACTGTGTATCTGGCTTTCCAGACAGGCACCTGGCAAGGGAGAATATTGAGGTATTTCCGAGGTTGGCGGTAATCCCAGAACTAGAAGAAAAAAAGATAATTTATGAAATAAATGCCATTTTAAAAACTCCAAACTCATTGCTTTTTATCCTCCAAAGAAACATCTCAATAGTGTATTTTTAGTTCCTCCCCCATAAATATGCTGCTGTGAGAGACATGAAGAATCTCCCTTTTACATTTATAAACATTACAGAAGAATTTCTGGACTTCACCAGGACCACCAGTCGGAGCAGATCATTGTCAGGCAATCTGCCTATTAAATGACCTTTGTAGCTGAAAGGTTAGAGTGACAGATTTTGATCCTATATTGCTTTTATACAATGTAAGTAATTTAATAATAATAGCTGAAATGCCCTACTTACAGCATTTCAGATAGATATTTAAAACTTTTAAGTTTTTGATCCCATTTAATCTTTATAACAACTGTAGAACAGATGTTCTTAATCCCTTTTTCAAATTTAGAATTGGATGGTTTCTGGTTCCTGAACTTGGGAGATAAGCTGATGGGGATGAGGGACAAAACCCCCAATACAACAAACAAACAAAACCAAACAAGCAACTTCTGGCATATGAGAATAAATTACAGCTAGATGCAGGGACACAACACCTGCAATTTCAGGTACTGGGGAGGCTGAGGCAGGAGGCTCACAAGTATAAGACAAGCCTGGGCAACTTGGAGAGACCTTGTCACAAAAATAAAAAATATAAAAAGCCTAGGGCTGTAGCTCAGTGGTAGAGAGTGCCTGCCTAGCAGACACAAATCCCTGGGCTCAATCCCCAGTAGCAGGAAAACAAACAAACAAAAAAAACTATTAGAACTCCAGGGGAATTATAAACTTTAATACAGAACGTTTTTTAGTTATAGATGGACACAATATGTTTATTTTATTTTTATGTGGTGCTGAGGATTGAACTGGTGCCTCATGCATGCTAGGCAAGAGCTCCACCTCTGGGCCACAACCCCAGCCCCAGAAATTAACTTTTAAGCCTTATGCATTACTCCAGTTTTGCTAACCATACTGAAAGACACTGTGCATAGCTGTGTGAACAGAGCATTAAATTAAAGATGCTGAATCAAGCAATTGCTAAACTAACTTGGTTGGTTAAATCCCTGGCCTGCCACTTTCTGATTAAGGGTACACAGCACATGCCATAGCAGGGAAAGGAAAATAAGAAACACTGTGCTCTGACATAAATCATAACTGGGTCATTGAAATGTGTAAAACCTTGAGCATTTCCTGTAAGTTAGAGAATACCTAGCGAAACAACTCCATCTCTGACTTTTGCAATGCTGATGTCTGAAATGTCATCACTTTTGCAGATTTGATAATCAGAGGAGAAAACTGCTATGTTTCCACGCTGAACAGACTGATCGTAAACTTGGCAACCTTAACAATTTTGCGGGCTTTTCTCCTTTACTTAGATCTGTGTATATCTGACTTCCTCGCAAGTAAACTTCTTTCACTTTCTAAATGCTCTGATCTCTAACTTACTTTCACAGAGGAAAAGAAAATCTTCTGAACAAATTCTCAGAGGCATCTCAGGCAGATGCCACAGCATCACTCCTGCAGGTTGTTACAATCCGGTTTACTTGAGTGGCTCTTCAAGAGGTACTTGCACCATGAAGCACACAGAGAATGCTCTAGCATACTAGAGCTTTTCCTCCGGAATGCTGTCACACATCTGTGACACCTCCCAAACACAGCTCCTCCAACCACCCCCTAGTAACGCACTCACCTTGACAGAGTTGTCTTGACTGGAGGTAGCGAGAATGTGCTCACTGTCTGGATGCCAGTCCAGGCCGTGGATTTTGGAGAGGTGGGCTGCTAGATATTCTACTGCTGTACTGGGTTTCTGCAACAGATTGGCACTGAGTTTGTCAGTTTAGGAAGAACTCATTGAGTGTCTACCATGTGACAGTGTTTTGGGTGCTGAGTGGGGTAAAAAAATACTGCCAGATACTGTCTCTGCCCCTTGGAAACTCCATTTTCTTTCATTCAAGCAAAACAAATCAAAGAAAACAAAGGACTTATCTGGCTGTCCTTCACATGCTGCCAGCCTAATTCTATGATCCAGCCTGAGACATGATTTTTAAGAAAAATACAGGTAGTAGGTGTTCTTTACCCAGGACAGTGGAATCTGCCTACTCCTACTCCCCTTCCTCACAATCACCGACCAAGAGGGGCTGTGGCATGAAAGAGACCCAACTTCAACCATGAGGGTGAAATCATCAGGTACTAAGATCTCAAACAGAATGAATACACACAGAAAAAACATTGATCAGCATAATAAATGAACCAACTCAGAAAGAAACCTCAGAAATGTACATTAAAGCAAGATTTTTTAAACTATCAAATTAGAAGATGTTTTTAAATAATATTCAATGCCATTGAGGCTGCATCTATCACCACTGATGAATGTATAAAATAGTATAATATTTTTTGGAAAAAAATTCAGCAAATTTATCCTGAGACTTAAATTTTTCCTTTCTTAGGTGAATAATCCCAATTCACAAAAAACCTTTACATCTAAAGATGTTCATCTTAATAAAATAATAATAATATTGGTATTATTTAGAACACTAGAACACCAGAAACCATGTAAACATCGTAAGTGAGAAATAATTAATTAAATCAATTATACTATAGCTTTGTGATAGGCTATGATATAGCTGCTAAAGATACTTAGAGCTTATAATATGGAGAAAATGCATCAGTTATAATGTTAAGTGAAAAAAGTACACACAACTATATACACAATATGATAAACTATGTTTTTAAAAACGTATAGGAAAAAAAACCCAAACTATTAGCATTTGTATTGGGACAGTAAGAGTATGAATGATTTTTATTTTTTCTTTTTATTTCCCCTACAAGGAACATATATCACTTCTATAACAGGCATCAGTCTGTAAGTTAAGAGTACAGAGTCCAGGTGCAAACTAAGTTCAAGTCCTAGCAACAAACGGTGCCTCAGTTTATCCTTCTGTGAACAAGGATCAAAACAGTCCCTATTGGAAAATCTAATTACAAAGAAAAATTAATCCACACACGTGACTCTCTTAGAACAATGCTGATGCCCAAGAAATGCTTACTAAACATTAGTGCTATTAGTCACATGTGAGCCTGGGTGGAAATCCAATGTCACTTTTTAGGCCTCTGATGGTGGCTGTCATCAGTGCTGCTTTGACACTAGAAAGTGCCAGAGAAGTGAAAATACAATCACAAGTTTAAAACTCACCTGAGCAAGAAGTTCTTAGTATCAACAGGAAAATAAAAGCAAACTAAAATCCTTTCAACAAAATAGATAAAAAGGCAGAGAGAAGTTGGTGACATTAGTGGACCAATTAGGAAACTAGAAAGAAATACTAACAGGCTATTATTTTAAGATAAGGAAAACATACTGCCAGAGTTCAGGGTGAAATGCAAAATTGCTTACATTGTCTATGGCTCTGGAACCAACCTAAGGCAAATATAAAGCACTGCGGGTTAACCAGATGTATTCTATATAGATCATTTCTGACAAATGACAAACTGAATAAAACCAATCACCAATTTAAGAAACAAAGTGGGGGCTGGGGTTGTGGCTCAGCGGTAGAGCACTCGCCTAGCACCTGTGAGGTGCTGGGTTCGATCCTCAGCACCACATTAAAAAAAGATAAAAAATAAAACAAAGGTATTATGTCTGACTACAACTAAAAAAATTTTAAAAAAAAACAAAAAAAGGAAAGAAACAAAGGGGAAAGTGGACCTTACCAACCTACACAAACAGAAGAAAGAAACTACCACACTGAAGATGCCCTGTGCAAGCCCTATATAATCACCTTCTTTCCTAAGAGCTGGCTAAGGCAGGGTCTTCAGGCAGCAGGTCCTAGAGCCTAATCCAATAGACAGGAAGGATCTGCCATACACAGTCTCAGCTTCACTTCCTCTTCTCTTCCAAATGTACCCTGTGCGGCCAGAAGTGATGCTGAGACTTTACAGTCAGCACCTGGTTTGGGACATCAATGAAAAGCCCTCCACACAAATTCCTGAGGATCCCTAGCCTCAAGATTCACAAAGCAGGAGATGGTGCTTACATCCCAGGTCTTAAAAAGCTGACCCCTCTATGATCTATCTGACAGTAAGATGTGGGGGAGCCCTTTCCCATATCATATTCTCAACAATGCCAACATAGGAAACTTTCCACTGACTTCCAATTACACCCAGGGCCCTATTGGTGCATGTGCAGAGTTCATGGCAATGGGAATATGTGATCAACCTGAAGGTTATTTTGAGACTGGTGAGCTATCTAGGCTCCTAGGGGCATGGTATTTGAGTATAAAGTTCCCTGCCTCAGTGACCTATACTGAAATATTCAGATGGTCTACACCCTGGAGTTAATGGTTTCCACTTGGCAAACGGGCATGAATCCGAAGCCTACTGATCGCCGAAGTAAGAACAATGTTGGGTCCCCAGGGCTTGACCTCAATGATACACCAACTATTATCTTTACTTGGAAGATAAAGACACTTAGTGAGGTTGTGGTGACTTGCCTAATGTCCTAATAAGGAGCCGCACAATAGGCTCTAACATAGGTCAGCCAAGTTCATTGTCTTAACCTCTGGTCATAATCCCCACTCCCCAACCTTCTTTCAACATCAGTTTAATTGAGAAGCAAATGCTATCTGGTACTGTGAGTTTAAAATGACAATGTGTCATGCCACAGAGACCCCCAGACTGCTAAGACAAGCCCTGGACTCATAACATCCTCTCCACACTCTCTGGGAGAGACTAAAGACCAACGACAGGGTAAAAGGTTACTCACCCGCTTATCCCATATGCGTACATCACCGTCATGGCTGGTGGCAAGGCAGTTTGCATTTTTTTTATTCCATTTGACCTGGGAAGCACCAGCTGCAAAGAAAACCAGGAGAAGAAAGCTGCTGCCCTCACTGCTTTCTGAAGCAGAATGAAGCCGATCCAGGGGAGGAGGACAATGAGCTCTGGTCAATGAACACAAAAATCCTTCCAATTCCTAGACTACACCAGCTCCACCGTTACAGATAAAAAGTAGCCAAAAGGGAGTGAATTAGCATACTAAAAACAGGATCGGAGTCACTTAATCAAGGAAATAATTCCAGAAAAAATCCACAGGTTACTCTAAGCAAGGAGGAAAATCTAGCTTCTTAGGGGACCAGCAGTTGAGTACTGGCTAAGCCTAGCATTGGTTGGTACCTGACCCCTCCTTGTCCCCAGCACACCAGACAGCCTCAGCTCTGTGTTGGCTCTGTCCCACCCATAGTCATAGTTGTTGTTTTTGAGGGACAGTCTTAAAAAACAGTCTCAAGCCAAAGCTCAGCTGAAGAGTCAGCCCCAGAGCGGTCCGACTCTGCCCTCAGAGGTCCGGTGCTCCCCTGGACTCTCATCTCTCCATCGGCAGTTAGAGAGGCTATTTGGCACTGGGCTTGTGGGGTCAGGATGGTGTGAAAACTCAGTCCCTTTCCCTCTGAGCCAATCCAGAGAGGCAAGAACAGTGTCAAAAGAGAACCTAAGACAGGTCCTAAGAGATGCCAGGCAGGGCTGAGACAGGGCAGTGACACTTCTAGCTAAGTCCTATAAAATGAATCGAGTTCTTCAAGTCAAACCAGCCCCATGCTGCTGGCCCTCCTTCCTGCCTCTTCTCATCCATGCCCACACCACAGCTGACAGGACACGGGTGCCACCTTTCCCTGAGGAGACCCCATAGGTGCAGGGCTTTGAGCACGACTTGATCCAAGAAGCCCAGGCAGCGAGCACCAGAACCTAACAGGACAGAGTGAAGGCCAGAGCCTGTCCTTGCCCACTGATACCTTGTGGTGGGTCTGGAAAGTGTTCGTTTGTCTTGTTTGTTCTTTTCTTCCCCTGCACCACCCACTCCCCCATTGTTTTGTTGTTATTTTTGCTTCACTAAGGAATTCTTAATCTTTATTTTTTGGGTACTGGGATTGAACCCAGGGGAACTTTACCACTAAGCTTTATCCCTAGTCCTTTTTAACCAGTATTATTTTTTTGAGACAGAGTCTCACTTAGTTGCTGAGACTGATCTTTCTTTCAGTATTTTTTTAAAGACTTTTTAAAAAAAGATATTTATTTTTTAGTTTTACGTGGACACAATATCTTTATTTTACATTTATGTGGTGCTTAGGATCGAACTCAGTGGCTCAAGCATGCTAGGTGAGCACTCTACCACTGAGCCACAACCCCCGCTCCCCCACCCCAGACTGATCTTGAACTTGTGATCCTCCTGCCTCAGCCTCCCCAGTCGATAGGATTACAGGTGTGCAACACCTCACCCAGCTTAATTTATTTTTAACTATACATATTTATGGGGTACATGTGGTAATTTGATATATCCATACAATGTATAATGATCAAATCAGGGCAATCAAATTTCCCTCTCCTTGATCATTTCTCTTTTCTTTGTGATGGAGATTTTCAAATGCCTCTGGTTCTAGTTCTTTATAAAACACAAATAAACGGTTGTAAACTACAGTCTCCCTACCATGATACAAAACAGTAGAACTCATTCCTCCTTTTTAACTAGGTTCTGTTACACAACCCCCTTTTGTCCTCCTGCTCCCCAATTTGTCTTGTTTTCTCTCAAGACAGAGGGCACCCTAAGTTGGTAAGAATAAAAGCTGGAGAACACTGAAGATGTGGTACATTATGTAGGAGATTCAGTTTCTTTGCAAGAAAGGGCACAGCTAGAGGAAGAACAGCAAGAAGAGTTTGCTCCATTTCCTCTAGACAATTACTTACACCATAATGAATATGCCTTTCCCAGTGGGGTCCTGTCAGACCACAAAGGCTGCCAAAGGGTTCTGGGAACCCCCAATCCAACCTGCTTTATTAGGATCACACAGAGCAGGGAACTGTTGTAAACTACAGTCACCCTACCATGATCCAAAACAGTAGAACCTATTCCTCCTGTTTAACTGGAGCACACAGAGACATGCTCTTACTGACCCCCCAAAGGGCATCAACACTGACAGACAGGAACCACAGACCCTGGGGAGCAAGTGCTAGCCAAGCCTGCATCTCTTGGGGAATGTTAAATGGAGCAGCTTGTAAGGATTCACAAGCCTATCATTTGCTTTTTCTCCCAGCATAGTTCTGGCACCACTGAGAAACCTCATTGAGGTACAAAAAAGGAGAGGAATCTCCTACCTCTATTTTTTGGAACCTAGAACAAAAAGAAAACAATCAGAACAAGGGGGCTGAAATAAACGACTCATTTCTTAGGGTTTCTCTAAAACCGATCTAGAAATCTGTAGGTGTAAGTAACAAAGTGAGGGGAATGTGACTTAAGCATTTACAGACCATTCGTATTTTTATTCAGTTGTATGTCTTTGGCAGCCAACCTTTGTCTCAGATAAGAGCCCAGAGCCGGTGATCAGATTCGCAGAGCCTTAAGCACCTAACACAGCTCAGGTGCTTGATTCCTGTGTCCATCTGTGCAAAGTTTTTTTTTCTTCTTTTTTTGCAGTACTAGGGATTGAACCCAGGGATGCTCTACCACTGATTTACACCCAGCCCTTTTTACTTTATTTTTGGGACAGGGTTTAAGTTGCCCAGGCTGGCCTCAAACTTGAGATCCTTCTGCCTCAGCCTTCCCAGTAGTTGGGATTACAGGCGTGCACCACCACTCCTGGCTAACGCCATTTATTAAGCATCTCCTTGGCCAGGCCTGTAATGCAAATATAGGCGCCAAGAGGTTAGGGACCATGTCTGTGATAGCATGTGTATATACCACAGATGGTACATAACACAGGTCAGCTGGATAGCAGCTTAAGCACAATCAGGGTGGTAAAAGTGTAAATACTAGGATGTGAGGGCACAGAGGACTGAAGAATCATGTAATCATTTTAGAACAAACACCAAATGTGTATTCAGGTGTATCAAGAAGATGCAAAGGAACAGGATTTAACAGATAGAAAATATATGATTTTATCAAGGGTTCCAAAATACTGGTGACTGGACTTCACCACTGTAAGTTATGCCAGTTTCAAACCCACATTCTACTCTGGGAAGTAGGGGGAATATTCCCCCCAGCACAGCTGAGAGTTCCAAAAATAGCTCCAACTAAGCAAAGAAAACAGGTAGATCAGAAAGTGATTTCAAAGACTCAATTCATCCATGTCAAATGATACCGTGGGGACATAATCAGCGTAAATCTAGATTGTAGAGAAAGCACAAGACAACCTGGTTTCTTCAAATAAGTAGACTGTGCAGGAAAAGAACAAACAAACCCAAACAGGAGAGGGAGACTAAAAAAGATGAGAAAAGTATCAACTACTTGTAAGTCCAGACTTTATTTTAATTCTGGCTCAGTTTTTGTTTGTTTGTTTTTTAAGAAAGAGAAATGGGCAGGGCACAGGGGCACACACCTGTAATCCAGCAACTTGGGAGGCTGAGACAGGAGGACTGAAAGTTCAAGGCCAGCCTCAGCAATTTAGCAAAGCCCTAAGCAAATTAGCGAGACTCTGTCTCAAAATACAAAATAAGAAGGATTGGGGATATGACTCAGTGGTAGAGTGCATTGAGTTCAATCCAAAGTATTAAAAAAAAAACAAAGAGTGAGAGCAAGAGCAGGGGTGGGGGGGCCCAGGGGTGTAGGTCAGTAGCACAGTGTGCTTAGCATGCACAGAGCCCTGGGTTTGATCCCCAGCACCAGTTTTTAAAAAAAGAGAAAGAGAGACACAGATACTACTGGGAAATTCAGAAAGAGACCACTGGGGAAATCTGAATACTTCTTAGATATCTGAAGATACTAAGGAGCCATTATTAATATTTTAGGTATGTTAATGGTACAGTGATTACTTTCTTTTTTAGGGATTTTCTTTTATAATACATAATATGTGTTGAAGAAATGACACAACACCTAAGCCTTGCTCAAAATAATCACAAAGGAATGAGGGCAGTGGGGGAGGCAGTGGATAGAGGTAAAGATGAAAGGAGACTGAATGTTTGATGACAATCACTGAAGCCCCAAGGGTGGGGGGAGGGGAAGAGGAGGGGGAGCGGGAGGGGGAGGGGAGGGCTAAGGTAGGGGAGGGTTAGGGTTAGGGTTAGGGTTCGGAGCAACATGAGCAAAGCAAGCACCTTGCAACGTGGGACTTGCGATTTTACCCAGCAGGGCGTAGGACATGAGTGGTCAGACCAGGAGGAGCAATGAAATGGCCAGGAGTGGGAAGCACTGGGATGAAGGCACACCAGGGACGACACACTCACCTACAGCAGAGAGTGCAACAGTGGGTTTCCTTGTGTCTCTGAAACACAAAAATCGGAAGTCAAATGCCCAATTCACATGCCCCCAGCGACCTGGTACTTTTCACTCTCTGCACATACTTTCTTCACTTTACTCTCCCAGGAACCTGGAGTTAGATCTGCTGAGAGGGCCTTAAAAAGACATGTAAAGAGAAACCTGTTTTCCCTCAAGGTAGAAGGTAGGTGAACTTTCTCAGCCACTATAATGGAGGCTGAGTTTGAATTTCAAATCATACAGTTAAATCCACAGAAAAGATCACATGACTCAGGATGGCCTAGGTAGCCCCAATGTGGCAGGAGAGGAAGCCAAAAAATCCCCTCCTGGGGTCATTACTGCCATGGCAACGTGTGACAGGGCAGTGTAATCCAAGGACCTTCCCAACAGCATTTCAAAGGTGGATTATAAAACTTCTCTGAGTGCCCGGCCCGGTGGTGCACACCTTTAATCCCAGGGGCTGGGGAGGCTGAAGCAGGAGGATCACAAGTTCAAAGCCAGGCTCAGCAACTTAGCAAGGCCTTAAGCAACTTAGTGCTTAAAACTAAAAATAAAAAGGCCTGGGGATTTTGCTCAGTGTTTAAGCACAAAAAACCTGGTGGAATGAGATGGACATCATTACCCTAAGTACACGAATGAAAAAACAAATGGCGTGCCTCTACTTGGTCTACAACCAGAGATATGAAAAAGTGTGCTCTACATGTGTAATATAAATTGTGATGCATTCTGCTGACACATATAACAAATTAAAATTTTTAAAAAATAGAATCTTAAAAAAAAACAAAGAAACAACCTTCTTTGGTTGTTCCTAATAGCCATGGGGCAAAAGGAATAGACAAAATGTGGTATGTCCATACAATGGAATATTATTCACCTTTAAAAATGAAGGAAATTCTGGCATATGTCATAAAATAGATGAACCTCAAAGACATTATGTAAGTAAAACAAGCCATCGACAAAAAGATGAATCTGGATGATTCTGCTCACATGAAGTAATTACAGCAGTCAAAGTTTGCTTAACAAAAGGCAGAGTTGTGCCAGGTGCAGAGGCACATGCCTGTAATCCCCACAGCTCGGGAAGCTGAGGCAGGAAGCAGTTCAATCCCTGGTAACCACCCCACAAAAGTAGAGTTGTTGCCAGGGGCTGGGTGAAGAACAGAATGGGGAATTGTTTAATGTAGACAGACTGTCAGTTTTGCAGGAGGAAGAAGTTCTGGAGACCTGCTGCACCAACAGTGTGAATACACATAGCGCTATTACCTGTGTATTCAAAAATAGTCAAGATGATAAATTTTGCATTGTGAGTTTTTTACTGCATAAAAAAGAACTACTCTGATTGCAAGAGGAGAATTCTCAGAGAGAAACTGCACAGTTGACTATGAAGTCAGAGGGGTGCTGGGCATGGTGGCACATGCCTGTAACCCTAGCAACTGGGGAGGCTGAGGCAGGAGGACCACAAGTTCCAGGCCAGCCCGGGCAACTTAGCAAGACCCTGCCTCAAAGAAAAATTAAAAACAACCGGGGATGTAGCTTGGTAGTAGGGTACCCCTGGGTTCAATCCCCAGTACTACAAAAAAAAAAAAAAGAAGAAGAAATCCAAGGGGCATCTTCTCCAGCAGTGGCACCCTGGGGCCAAGGAGGCCAGTGAAGGCAAATCTGCAGCTCTGGTTTACTGTTTAGAAAACCTGAGGAAGAATGTGAGCTCAGTACCTTTACTTACATCATGAAAAGACCCATTTTGTGTGAAGGAGGTGCACTCCACTCCCGCCCACAGCTCCCTGAGGACCCATTTAGAGCTTCCATCTTCCACTTGCCCTGGACTCAGCGTGTCTCCTCTGGCACTGCCCTTAGACCAAAGGGCGCCACGGGGCTCATGTATCTGCACAGTCAAGTCGGACGCACGCACCTCACTCCCGCAGAGCCACTTTGCTGGTCTAGCCGGTCAGTTCCACCCCAATACCTGGCTTATCTTCTGCCTACAGTCCAAGCCTCTGTAGCTTGGTAGTAGTCCAAAGTTACCACCAGGTGGGAAGCAGAGCACCCTGGCTAGGGGAGAGGGACCCTACAGATTGCTTCCTCAGAGCAACCAGCTCTAACCACATGACAAAGGGGCACTGTTCTACTTGTTGGGTTTTTTGTTGTTGTTGTTGAAACACTGTTTTAAATATTTGTTTTTTAGTTATAGGTAGACACAATACCTTTATTTTATTTTATGTGGTGCTGAGGATCAAACCCAGTGCCTCACGCATGCTAGACGAGTGCTCTATCTCTGAGCCACCACCCCAGCGCCTCTATTTTTGAGACAGGGACTTGCTATGTGACCCAGGCTGGACTCAGTCTCACTATCCTCCTGAGTCTCACCTCAGGCTCCTGAGTACCTTGGATTACAGGTGTGTGCCACCAAGCCTGGCAGGAACATCGTTCTTTTGATGTGCCAAGCCAGGGGTGGGAGCTCCTTTACTCCTTATGCCATGAGGTAGAACCCTGGGAGGTGTCCCTTAGGCCCCATTTGACAGACGTGGAGCTGAAGCCTCACAAACAACTAGTGAGGAGCTGAGCAGATGTGTGGCAGTGCCCGTCATCATCCCCTCCATCACCTGTCCACTTCAGTGAACCCCAGCTCGACTTCCAAATGCAGCACCTGTGTTGCTTTGCCAAGGGGACTGCCCTGGCTGCTGCAGCTTGCTCTGAAGAACTCTGACAGGCCTGAGTGCCAGGGAACTCAGACCCCCGGGGGCAGCCTTCCCGATGACTGCAGAATCAAACATGCTTCCTAGGCCCTTGGTGGGAAACTTCTGAGGAGGTATTCTGCAGCAGCACCAAGCACCCCCAGTGATTATACCCTACCTGTTCATGCTGGCATCCAGAGGAGGGTGCTCCCTGGCTTACCAGTCTTCCCCACCTGCCTCTCTCTTCTCCATCCCCTGCCTACCCCTCTGTCATCTCCAATGTCATATACTTGAACCCAAATCCTTGTTTCAGGATCTGCATCTAGAGGAAACCAAACTAAGACATAATCTCTGAAATGAAGGTTCCCAATAATCCCACAAACAAGTGATTAAACCTCCTCATTGTTCTTACTTGATATCCCAAATGTAGATGTAGGTGTCCACCGAGCTGGTGACCAGGAGATCTGGTTCAAACACTGCCCAGTCCAAGTCGCTAGGAGAGAAGAAATAAACAGAACAAAAAAAGAAAGAAAAAAGCTTCAGTTCCAAAGCACTAGTAAATCTAGTTTTCAGTGGTTTTGAATGTCACCATTAATGGGCTTCTCACTGCAGCTCAGGCTGGAGATCTCCAAAGTTGTCTATGAATGAGCAAGAGTTAAATGAGCTCCGAAGGAAACATTCGGGTCCTTCTCCCTGTGGTTGCCAACTACTCTACCACCTGCTCCCAGAAAATAAATGGAGCATGGCAACTTAAAACAGACTCTCTGAATAAGTAGACACAGACAAAACACAGGGAAATCACATGAAGTAATCTCTGATTACCATTTTCTTTTTCTTTTTTTTTTAGTTGTAGATGGACATAAAATCTTTATTTTCTTTATTTTTATGTTGTGCTGAGGATCAAACCCAGTGCCTCACACATGCCAGGCAAGCACTCTACTGCTGAGCCCCAACCCCAGTCCCTTGATTACCATTTTCTAAGTGAGACTCAACCACGGGTACCTTGGGTAACCCACCTCTCCTAAGTGGGGTGAACAGCCATGTTCCCACACCGCCTTCCAGGAGGGCTGGCAGCCCTAGGGCTCCCTACTTGAACCCTCAGCCCCAGGAAGGTGGTTACTCCACAGAACGCCTCACACTAGTGCCCTCACTTCCAGATCAGTTTCGCTCCCCCTGAACTCCCTGACGCTACTCCCTAGAAAAAGTTTCTCCTACCCAGAAACAGCTGCCCAGGGAAAGAGAGGCTCAAGAACACTCTGGAAGGTCCTAAGTGGGAGGCAACTGTGCATGTGGATAGCAGACCGGGGTACAGGAGCCGACTGTAATGACCACAGTTGCTGGAAAAGGCAAGGGCCAACGTTGCTTGCTGGTGTCTCCACACATTCAGGGCATGGCAGATCCTGCCCTGGGGATTCTACTGCGTACCTCCCCTGCCTCCTCTGGCAAACAGCAGCCCTAATCCTTAATCTGGATGGGGCTGAATTAAGTCTTCCAGGATTTGGGTCAACAGCTACATAGGTGACGCTTCCTAAATATTGATTGTCCTTGGTTTCTTCTCGAGCACCTTGGTGAATACTTGGCCCCAGGGCCAGTGCAACACACAGGGTCAAGCCATGCAAGGGGGACAGCATCTTCATTTTACTAACCGAAGTAAGACAGGCCAAGGCACTGTGGAGGGCTGGTGCCTACCTGATGACGCGCGTATGGCCCTGTAAGGTTGTGCCAACTTCCCCAGTGCCATCTTTCCACTTATAAAGGTCCACCCGTTGGTTACTCTGAAAAGAAATAAGGAAGAGAAGGCTGTGGGTAGCACAACATACCACTGGAATATAGGTTCTCACCCCAATGCTTAAGGCAAGAAGAGGTGGCCAACTGGCAGAGATCTATAGGTTGAACTTCCTAAAAAGCCAAAAGAAATCAGTATAATAAACATTAGCTTGAACAAGCCTCAGCTAGTACATGGAGCTATGAATTTCAAAATGGAATTGCATCATACTGATGTCTCCATGCACCCTGGGCACTGCCAAGCGCAAACAGGAAGGGCACCCATCCTGAACAGTCACAGTGGACCTGAAGATGGAGATGGGCTCCTGAGCATGTGCCTCATGGGCCACAGAGACAGCCCAGACCACTAAAGGAACCTCCTCCCCACCTCAGAAGGTCACACACTTGACTCCCCAACTACTGTCACAGCGGATGTTTTCAGCTTACCCTTCCCACACCAAATGCCCAGAGTCCACCTACCTCACTTTAAAAACACAGATACATGCCAGGCATGGTGGCACGTGCCTGTAATCCCAGCAGCAGGAGGCAGGAGGACTGTAAGTTTGAGGCCAGCTGCAGTAACTAAGCAAGGCCCTAAGCAACTTAGCAAGACCCTGTCTCAAAATCAAAAATAAAAAGGGCTGGGAATGCAGCCCAGAATAAAATGCCCCTGGGTTCAATTTCTACTACCGAAAACACACACAAACACACAGAGATACAAGAAAGAAAAAAAGAAACACCATCAAAAGGACATGCAAGAAGGCAAAATTATACACAAGACTCCCTGAAACATGCCTAACACAAATTTCATTGAGGGTTAAAGAGAAAGAGACAAGGAAAATGGACCAGAAGAAACTCAACTAAAAACGGGGAAGAAAATTAAAGGCTCTATCAAAGTACATTTCATTTAAAAGAAACAGCAGAACAGTTCCCTAAATACTGTGCACTTAAACTCAAAGAGGATAAAGACACCAACAGACTGAGAACAATGGCAGGCCATGGAATACTTTCTGAACTGATAAATATAATAGACTAATTTTCATTTTAGCTCAGAGGCAGACAGTTAAATTAAGTTCTGAGATTTTTATTCTGAAATGCCAGTTTCCAAATCTAAACAGGTAAGGTTCTTATGAAAAGGTTAGGAATCAAAATAGCTTTCCATGGGAACAGAATGAAAAGTTCCCTCATCCTATAACATTCCTGCTATTTCCAGAGGGTCTGTCAGTTCTCATCCAGGTACAAGGCACCTTATCCAATCTGACCTTTCTCACCTCCCTGCATGGTGAGTATCATCATCCAAGTACACATGATGCAACCAAGGCTTAGAAAGTTGAGTGGCTTGCTCAAGAAAAAAAGAGTTCAAACTAGGCCTCGACTCCAGATCTGCCCAATTCTAAAGCTCTTTCTCTGCAAGAAGCTGCCTTCCAACCAAGAACAATGACAGAAAAAAATAAATAAATAAACTGAACTTCATCAAAATTAAAACTTTTGTGCATCAAAGGACATTATCAAGAGAGTGAAAAAACAGCCAGGCATGGTGGCACACGCCTGTAATTCCAGCAGCTTGGGAGGCTGAGACAGGAGGATCACAAGTTCAAAACCAGCCTCAACAACGGTGAGGCACTAAGCAACTCAGTGAGACCCTGTCTCTAAATAAAATACAAAATAGGGCTGGGGATGTGGCTCAGTAGTTGAGTGCCCCTAAGTTCAATCCCCAGTACCACCCCCCCCACACACACACAAAAAAAAAAGAGAAAGTGAAAAAAACAATATTTCTTTGACAAATATTTTGGAGAAACTATTTGCATCACATAGATGATAAAGGTCTAGCATTCTGAATATACAAAGAACTCTTACAACTCAACAGCAAAAGTACAAACAACCCGATTCAGAAATGGGCAAAGGAAAAAAAAATTGGGTATAGGGACTAAAGTTGTTACTCCACGGTACAGCACCTGCCTAGCATACCGAAGGCCCTAGGTTTAATCCCCAGTTGTGTTTTAAAAAAAAAAAAAATGGGGCTGGGGTGTTGCTCAGAGCCCTGGGTTCAATCTCTAACACAGCAAAAACAAACAAGAAACCCAAAACCCAACCAAACCAAAAAGGGCAAAGGACCAGAAAAGACATTTCTTCAAAAATAAAAGGTACATAAATGGCCAATAGGCACATGCAAAGATGCTTAACATCATCAGTCATTAGAGAAACGTAAATCAAAAAAACAAAATAAGGGACCACTTCATACCCACTAGGAATGACAACAATTTAAATTAAACAACAAATGTTGGTGAGAATATAGAAAAGCTGGAAACCCTATGCATTGCCAATGGGAATACAAAACAGATGAGCCACTGTGAGACACAGTTTGGTAGTTCCCTCAAAAAGTTATAATCAGGGCTGGGGTTGTGGCTCAGCAGTAGAGCACTCACCTAGCACGTGCAAGGCCCTGGGTTCGATCCTCAGCACCACATAAAAATAAATAAATAAAATAAAGGTATCATGTCCAACTACAACTAAAAAATAAACTTTTTAAAAAAAAGTTATAACCATATGACCCTGTAATTCTACTCCCGAGCACAGGTTCAGAACTGAAAACAAGTACATCCACACACATGTTCAGATGGGCACTATTCAGAAGAGCCAGCAAAGAACAATGGTGTAGAATCTGGAGAAAGATGCCAGAGCTGTTGGATCCCAGGATCTTTTAGGATCATAAATTTCTCAGAAAACCTATTAAGACTTACGTATGTTTTCCCTGGGAAAATTCACACATAAGGAAGCATGCAGATTCAACGAGGTCAATCAATCTAATGAATCTCAATCAAGAAGCCCCTCCTCTGAGGGGAAGGGTGTAGGGAGTCTCCTGCTCCCTCTGAGAGTGATGGGAGCAGAGCCCAGGCCCGCTCCCCAGGTACCCTCTTTAAACATCTTCCAGTCATCTGCCATCTGGCCACTGGATGTTACCCTGCTGCTAATGAAAATGCGTTCTCACCACACACAGAAATGAAGGCAACCACTTGCTTCCCTTTCAAAATCTAGATTCAGGCTCTAGAAATACAAGGCCTGACACCAATGAAACCATCAAACAAACATATAATATACATGTACACATATGTGTAATGCATACACATTGATATACATGTACACACATTTGTAATATATATGTATATTTATTTATTTTAACTTGCCACTTGCCTCTTTCTTGCAGAGCCATTCAAATCTCTTTTCTGACTGAGCAATGAGAATTATACTTTCTTTTCTACACAGGACACAAACCTGCTAGCCCAAGATGACACATGTAAAAGATGACATTCTCAAAGTGAACTTACCGAAGCTGCAAAATAATGCGCGAAGCTGTCATGAGGATTCCACTGCACAGCTCCGATGTCCCATTTGCTCTGACGAGAGATTTTCCGGTGACCTTCAAAAGGAGCATCTAGATTGACGATGTACAGGAATCTGCGACTAGGAGAACAACATCAGCATTACAGCAATATAGCAACAGAGCCACACTAGCACTGAGACAGAAGAGCACACTTAGAATCACATAAGATCTGCAAACAGTGCTCCTAAAAACCCCAGATGCACATGACATTTATCTACTCTGAGAGGTATACAAGGGAAAAGAGCAACTCAAACTGGCAGTTAAGCAAAGGGAGCAGTATCTCGGTGAGTGTCTACCTCCAAAGGTGGCCTTCCCGACCATATCCACCCCTGAGAGTCTATCTGCTTGCCCTGACTTGAGCTCCAACCTGCCCTCTCCAAGCCCTCCCCAAGGCCCCAATTAGGGTCAATTACTGCTTCTCATTGTATCCTGGGACATGGGCAGCATTTACTTCTATAGCGGGACTACTAATGTGTCTGAAGTATGGATGGACCATGTCTTGAACATCTTGGTATGCTCCACATCAGTAAGCACAGTGCTCTACACTCAATAAGTGTGTGTTAAATTACACACTTCGTTTATCACCTAGCTAAACCCTGCAGAAAAATCTCAAACTCCTCTGCAAGACTACTACATGGAAACTAAATTAAAGGGAAATAAAAACCCAAGGAAAAAAAATAACACAGTAAGTACCAATAATGTTAAAGATATCAATCAATATAAAGAATCTGAAAACAAGGATGCACTGTGTTCCTCTACTTTTCAAGTTAAAAAAAAAAAAAAAATCTTGGTACATGAATCAACATCCCCGCAGTCATCCTCATTAGAGAGAGCTCTGAGCCCCTGGCTATCAGTAAGAACAGGTAAGCTCAAAAATAAAATGATCAGTAGCCCCTGTTCAGACAAATGGGTGGTAAAATTCTAGATGGCAAGAGAAATTCTAAAGAGCTTAAGGCAGAAGAAGGATAATGGGGAAGATACAATTTCACAAAACTTCCAGAATTTCTAAGAAAGTTAATGCAGAACAAAGATCTTGAACCTCTGGCTCCCCCAAAGCAATCACCTGCGCCTGCAGTAGACAGGCTGGCTTCTTCCATTAGAAAGAAAAACAGTACAAGGACAAGAGCTCGGCACACAGGTGTATCACCAGGGAGTTCAGAGACACTAAGGAGCAAACGGAGAAAAGCAGACAGCGTGCACTTCAGATGAGCATGGCTGGTGAAACCTGGGTTTACCTTCACTCCCCTGAAGCCCCCACTCAAGTAAGAGCTAAAAAGAAAGAAAGAAAAGAAACTCACAAAGGTACACAAAATGGAAAGCAGATGGACAGATGGTTAACTGATCTAGAGTAAAGAAAGCTAAATAAAGTTCAAGTGCTGGCGAGGGGAAGAGCCCAAGAAGCCATCTGGCTCACACTGCAGGACCTGCAGGACTCCTCAAGGTAAGGACAGGGGAGCACTGGGAGACAAAAAAAAAAAAAAAGAACAAAATACAAGAATTGTTTGAAAGTACACTAAAGAGATAGGTTTATATGGCCCTCAAAAAGCCAGGTGAGCCACCTCTCCTTTACCCCAGGTGGAAGGTGGGTGCTGCTATTCCCTAGCCTGGGATTAGCAGCACAGCACAGCTGCTAAATTAAGGTGCTGTACTCAAAACTTGGCAATGTGAGTACGAGGCCTCCAGTCCCTTCCGTTACTGGTATGGGGCCCTCACAATGCCACCTTTTATCCTTTAGACAACACTTTTATAAAAAAAATATTTTTTTTAGTTATAATTGGACACAATGCCTTTATTTTATTTATTTTTATATGGTGCTAAGGATCAAACCCAGTACCTCGCACATGCTAAACTAGTCACAACCCCAGCCCCTTTTTTGACAACACTTGTCAGGTAAAAATGACCAGTCCCCTCAAAACATAAGCAAAACAAACAACACCTTGGACATAGGGTTACCTGGGCACCCACTAACAAGAAGTCCCAGTTCCTGCCTGATCTCCCTAAAATGTGCCCACAGCCACTCTGATCACTCTTCAGTGTGAACAGAGAGCCAATCAGCTTAGTCACTGGAGGAAACCTGAAAGAGACGAACAGTAGTGGGGAAAGGAACTCAATGAGAACAGGGGTAACATAGAGGAAAGAAAAAGCCTGGAATCAACATTTTCTGAGTTAAGAGAATATTGTAGAGTGTAGAGTACATTAAAATCATAGTTGAAGTTTTTAAGAATCTTGAAAATTTCTGAAAATTAAAATAGTTGAAATTTAAGAAAATCTGATAGAAGGAATGAATGTTAAAGTTAGAAACTCCCAGAATGCAAAGCAAAAGGACAAAAAGGTCAGAAGAGAATCCACAGAAAAGCTAACACTGACTAATAGGAACTTCAAAAGTAAGAATGAGAAAATGGAGGGGAGAAAATGATCAAAGACGTAATGCAGGAAAATTTCTTCAAATGGAAACAGAAAGACTTCCAGATCAGAAGGGTTTTCCAAGGTGCTAAAAAATATTCTGTATCTCAGTCTGAATGGTATTACATGAGTGTGTATATTGGAAATTTATTTGAGCTGTTTATTTCAGATTAGTATACTCCATACTTATTTTTAAAATTTATACAGATTCTATGTATAAAATCTTACATACAATGTATAATTTTCAAATTCAGCATAAGAAAATGAAATGGAGCACTTCAAGTTCATGTTGAAAACCAATATGGATCCATACATATCTAGGATCACACTAGAACAGGGACACCTGTGTAAGTTCCAGTCACATAACTCCATCCTCTCCTAGAGAGCTAAGGATACCACTTTCCACATTAGTTGACACTGGAAAATCTAACATTTAGCTCAGTTACTCCAAGGCACTTGAGAGTGTTTTATGGGGCATTAATAGAGCAATATAATACCAAGCATGTTATGCCTCTATTGGCTTAGATAACCAATAGTGTAAAAAATGGGGGGAAAGGAGTCCTGAGTAGCCAGACGTAGACAAAGCAGTTATGATGAAAATTTCACAAACTCCAGAGATAAAGATAGGATTTTTAAGCTTCCAAAAAGAAATATAAGTGACAAAGAGCCTAGAATCAGAATGGCACAGGACCTCTCACAATAATTCTGAGAAAAAACCTCTCAAATACTGAATCAATCCAATGACTGTAATAGAGCTGTATTGGAAAAAGGGGGAAGGCTAGGTAGGTGTGCAAGAGTGTAGAAAAAGAACCAATCCTCATCTTCTGGTGTAAGGAGTCAATTTATAATGTTCAAGATGGATAAAGCCAGCTGGAGTCATTCATGTGCACTAACCGGGAAAACAGAGGCAATTGAAAGGCAGAGCTAGATTCTGAGATGAGCTTCCAGCGGAACCAGGGGAAAAGTGAGGTGGAGACCACTATTCTCTAACATAAGCTTTCTAGTGCTACACTACTATTAAAACATTTACAGGTATTTCCTTGATTTAAAAAGAAAAAAAAAAAAAAACTGGTACAAAGAGTGAGTATAAAGCCAGGTGGCACACGCCTGTAATCCCAACAACTTGGGAGGCTGAGGCAGGAGGATCTCAAGTTCAAAGCCAGCTGCAGCAAAAGCAAGGCACTAAGTAACTCAGTAAGACCCTGTCTCTAAAATAAAAAATATAAAACAGGGCTGGGGGTGTGGCTCAGTGGCTGAGTGCCCCTGAGTTCAATCTCAGCCCTGCAAAAAAAAAAAAAAAAAAAGTGAGTATGAAATTAAAAATGTAATATACAAAAAAACACTAAATTACACTCTTTTAGGGGTGGGGGGTTCTGAAGATATAACCCAGAGGCACTTTACCATTGAACTAATATCCCCAGCCCTTTTGTTGTTGTTATTGTCTTTTATTTTGAGACAGGGTCTGACTAAGTTGCTTAGGGCATGGCTAAGTTGCTGAAGCTGGTCTTGAACTTGTGGTCCTTCTGCCTCAGCCCCCTGAGCCACTGGGATTATAGATATGAGCCATATGCTCAGCTAAACTATACTCTTTAAATAAGTGAATTACATGTAATTCATATTACATGTATATATTAATTATATCTTAACAAAGCTGTTTTTCAAAAACTGACCAGGAAACTAGAACTAAAAGAGAGAAATACCAATATTTCCTTATCCATGTGCCTAGTATCACAAAAGAAAACAATGTCAATAATGTCTTTAGTCAGAATGTAGGAGGAAAATTTTCCATGATATATCCTTTTGAACTATTTAAATGTTTGCTATGTGCATGTGCTTTTTTAAAAAGGTAAATTAAAACAATTTCAAAATAAAATAATGAAGGTAAAAGAAAATATTTTCACTGATTTGTAAATAGGTTCATAAACAACTAAGTTAATTTAAAAAACAACTGAATTTGAGAGGTAGGGATAGTAACCCAGAGCAATGTGAAAGGGAAGGGAGGACCCTGCCCATTAAATTTTATTCTGATACAATACCAGGGTTATTACGAAGGCAGAGATGAAACTTAATTGCCAGAATCTTCTTTTTTGAGCTTGAAAACACTACAGAAGCCTGTGTGATAGCACATGCCTACAATGCCAGCAATATAGGAGGCTAAAACTGGAGGATCAGAAGTTCATGGTTAGCCTCTGAAACTTAGCAAGACTCTATACCAAAATTAAAAAATAAAAAATAAAAAGAACTGGGGATGTAGCTCAGTGATAAATTGTCCCAGGCTTAATCCCCAGAACTGCAAAAACAACATCAATAAGAACAACAAAATCTAATAACATTACAGAATACTATGTAGTTTAATTTCTTCTTGATGGAATTGAATTCCTTCATTAGAAAACCAAAATGCAGTTAGGTCAACTGAATAAAAGTGCAGGGGTTGGGGTTGCTGGGAGTGGTGGCACACACCTATAATCCCAGCAACTCAGGAGGCTGAAGCAGGAAGATTACCAAGTTCAAAGCCAGCCTCAGCAACTCAGCAAGACTCTAAAATAAAAAAAGTTAAAAAGGGCTGGGGGGCTGGGGCTGTAGCTCAGTGGCAGAACACTTGCCTAGCATGTGTGAGGCACTGAGTTCAATCCTTAGTACCACATAAAAATAAACAAATAAAGTAAAGGCATTCTGTCCATCTACAACTACAAAAAAAAAAAAGGCATGGAGGGGCTTGAGATGTGGCTTAAGGGTTGAGTGTCCCTGGGTTTAATTCCTGGTATCAAAAAAAAAAAAAAAAAAGTCCACAGGCTTGTGATTAGTGGCACTGCCAAAATAGAACCCAGATTCCCTCAATCCTAGTCACTACCTATCTGACCATACCAGATAGCTTTCTTAAAAAGTCTATGCAATAAACACAAAATTGCAATTTCAAGACCACTACCAGTCACTAAAATTTTGATGGAATTCTGCTGCTTACCTGTTAGGTCAGAAACAAAAATAAACGGTGAGTAAACTCTACAAGTGTCCTGTTTTCACTAGGTTGGAAGAACTAAACCCTGTGATCATAATCCTTAAATACCAGTATATTTTCCAATTTCCCAGAAACCTAACTTGCAATTTGTTCCCCAGAAATTGTGGTAGACACACTCCCAAAGCTCACTTACCCAGAAAGCACTGCATGCTGCCCAAGACAGTCCACAGACATTGCAGTTGCCTGTGAGAGAGAACAGAAATTAAGTCCCGCCAGCAGACCCCGCTCAGGTGGAGAAGGCTGGTGTTCCTTTTGAATGTGGATCTTCCTCTTCCCATCTCCCAGGCAGTCCCCAGCTAGCAAGTATCATTAGTTCTCTACAGTGGATACTTTGACTCTCTTCTAGTTCCCACCAAAGTTTCATGTTGACAACATGGCAGTTTCTATCAGTTACTAGCCTTCAGGGAGTCTGAGCAGCATGATAGTCAACAGCTACAATGCACCAAGACCCTTTCCCAAGGGGAACCTATCCTGGGACACTGGCCCCTCTGCACACACAACGCACCCAGGCCTTTCCCAAGGCCTCAAGCCACAGGGCGGCTGGTATTATTCAAATAACACCAGGCTGAATCTGCGATCATATTCTTGTTACTAAGATGCCTAGTTCACATTCAAGATGAAATTTCGAGTGCATTTTTCTGGTTTCCATTAACTAGGTCTCCAAATTCCTTCTGAGCACCAACACTGCAGGATCCAAAGCCTAATTCCCAAAAGATGGTGCTGAGTCCAGTGAATCTGCATCTAAGCTGAAACAGGAGGCTGATTTGAATCCTGGCAGTTACGGTCCTAAATTCTCTTATTGGAACAAGTTCAACTGCTGCTGCATTTGCATGTCATTAACGCGAATTATTTGTGCCGTTGTTTGGTTATTAAACGTTCTAAGTCTTGATATTTCTGAGAGAATATCAAGAGAATCCATTTTGTACATGCTGTCACAAACACAAATGGCAAACAGAAATTCTCTCCCTTCCCCTCACTGGCCTTACTACTGGGTTTCACACACTTGTCCACCCTTGAGAAATGTCAAAGGTAACACTGGGGACAAAAACCAGAGTGCTCTACTGGAGGCTCAAAAGTGCGACCTTCATATTATACTAGAGTCATGAGCAGAGAAAGGCCCAGCTGGAAAGGCAGGCCATGAAACAAGGTGCCACTTCCAGAACTCTTCTGTGCAGCTTCTAGATGAATGTTTTGAAAAAAAGACAGGATGGTTTCTCCCGTGAGGGCAGTGTGATCTTTTTTTTTTTTTTTTTTTTTTTGAAAAATGTAAAACTTTTAATAGCAAGATGAGTATATTCAAATGGAAAAAGCAGATTCACTGATACATAATAAAATTATGAAATATCCTTCCCCATACATTCAGCAGCTGCACTTTTTCTTCTCTACTTTACCTTGCCACCTTTCCCCTGTACATTTCTGTTACTTTCCCCATCTGTTCCTTGGACAGATTCCTTCCTCCCCCCTCAGTAATACAGAATCTTTACCCTAGGGAAACTACAATGACTATCATTAAATTTTTAAAATATGCCCTTTAACCTTCCTAATATCTGGGTAAGACCACTCCTTTCCCCTCATCCCCAGTTAGCTCCCACTCTTCTGGACAGTCATGATGTTGTATTCGTCAATTTTCTAGATCTATGTTGGGGTGAGGAGAGTATAAGTTGCAGCCACCTATGTTGTTTTCTCCAATAATTCTTTCAAAGTGGGTACACAAGAAATAAACTTCCTAAATTCTTCCATATCAAAAAATATCTTTGTTTTACCCTGGAAATCAAATGCCAACTTGGCTGGATACAGGATTCTGGGCGAAAGCCTTTCTGTAGGTGTTTTCTTTTTTCTTTCTAGAAGCCTTTAGGATTTTCTCTATCACTACAATTCAAAAACTTTACCAAGATGTGTCTCGGAGTGAGTCTGTTTTTGTCAATCATGCTGGGGATCTGGTGAGCACTCACTATCCCAAGACTAGAATCCCGAAGCTCTGGAAAATTTTCTTCAATTATTTCCTGCAGAATGTCCTCTGCTTCATTCTTTCACTCTCTTTTGCTGAGATTCCTATCAAATGGATGTTGGCACTTTTGAATCTATCCTCCCTCTCCCTTAGCATTAACTTATTATCTGATTGGCCACAATGTGTATGATATCCCTAGAGAATTGTGCCGTTTCATCATCTAGATTGCAAAGTCTTTCTTCAAGGATGTCTATTCTACTCCTCACATCATCTATTGAATTCTTAGTTTCCAAGATATCTGGAAGGCATTTTTTAATTTTTCCAATCTCTTCTCCCATCTCTCTGAGGAAACCGATCACAGTTGTTCTATAGTTTGTTTCCGTTTCCTGGATTAGGTCTGCCCCTTTGGATGTTTGTGTTTGAAAAATCTTCTGCATAAAAAACCCTCCTACTTCCTCTTCCTCCTCATTCTCAGAATTCCATACCTTACTGAACACCATAATCTCTTCATCAGCTCCCATCTCTCCCAACACACTTGTCGCAGGAACAAGGCGACAGGTAGAGTCCTGTTTCTCACATAACATTGAGTCATCTTCGCCCTCCTCCTCCTCCTCCCACCACTCCTCCTCCTCCTCCTCCTCCCACCATTCCTCCTCCTCCTCCTCCCACCACTCCTCCTCTTCCCCCTCTTCTTCCATCTCCTCTTGTCCCTCCTCTTCCACATCACAGGCCCCTTCTTCCTCTTCTTCCCTCACATAAAAGATGTCTTCCTTGTGGGTCTCTGAGTCTTCTCCTGTCACTTCAAAGGTAGGGATTCCTTTATCCTTCCACTCTGAAAACTCTTCCTCCCGAGTCTCTAAGTTCTTCACTTCTGGTGTAATGACTTTTGCCTCTTTGGTGATTAAGAAATGCAAGCCATCACTTGCTGTTCCTCCAGCTTCATGTTTTGAATTTACTAGAGCGTTACCCCCTTTTAAGGGGATCCCACATCCTCCTTCTAGATTTGGTTCTTCCTTCTGTCAGAGTACAGGGTTCAGTAATTCTCCTATGACAGGTTTTTGGCTGGTAAATTGTCGTAAACTTTGCAGGTCTAAAAATGTCTTCATCTCATCATCACATTTAAATGCTAAATGGACCTCACACTGAAACTCAGGTTCAAAGCCATTTTCTCTCAAAATGTTGAAGATGTCGCCCCACCACTTACTGACTTCCAAGGTGGCTGATGCCAGAGGGTCTGCAGCCAGGGTGAGCACGGCTCCTTCATCCATCAGAGTTTCTTCTTCTCTTGATGCTTTGACGGTCTTCTCTTTATTACTGAGGATCTGGAGGTTTTCTTCTTCCATTGTTTTTACTGCTCCACCTTCCCTATGCTTTGGCTTCTCTTTGTCGGGCAGTTGTATGTGGTGACTGTCATTTCTACATGTGTCATCGTTCATATCTGAGGCTTCTGCCATCCTTCCAATGGCTTGGTAACTTTGGGGTTCATTCTGGGATAATTCCTTCCCTTGATTGCTAGTGGACATCTTGGCTTTGTCCCATTTACAAATCGGCTTGTCTATTTCCTTGTTTCTAAAAGATAAGTTTTCAGTACACTCAGCAAATTTAGAATTTTTTTCTTCTTGTTCTCTCAACTGTGTTTTTGGTGAAGCTAAATCTTTCGCTTCCTGTCACTCTTCCCTGCTACCACAGTGCTTTGTATCTTTTGTTTCAGATATCTCACTTTTTACTAGCATTTCCTTTAGGTCATTTTTCAGGGTTTCCCTCATCTTGAAAAACATCACGTCCTGCATTTGCAACAAGACCTTAAATTTCTCCACAATAGTTGTTGATATATAATCTTTGTAGTTGAAATCTAACATCCAAGGTATCTCCTCATTAGTTCCTATTATCTGCTTTCTTTTGACACAGGTGGATTGTTCCTGTTCCTTTGCAAATCTAGACATTTTTGACTGTACAGTTGACAGGGTGTCTATATTGTCCAGATCGTATTGTTTTCACTTTTGAAGAGTAATTTTTGTTCTTGCACACCGGCTAGGCTCCAGAAATCTAAAATCCTTAAAAAACTCTCATCCTCTTGCGTGCCTCTGCCAGGAACAGACCAGTTTCACAGAGCACAATGTGGTCTACAAGATGTGTGCAGCAGTCTCTACCTGGGAGGAGATCACTACCTCAGCGCTGTGCAGTGAACAAAGGTCCAGTGTGATCTTTCCAGAGGGAATATGATAGGCAGAATCCTAACATGGCCCCCAGGATGCTGGGCCCTTGGTGTACACACATCTCCTCTCTGCTCTTCAGTGCTAATAAAACACAATCTAGGTACTACTGCGAAGGGATTGTAGAAGCATAAATTAAGGTCACAAATCAGCTGACCTCAAAATAGACCTGTAACAACCCAAACGTTCAAGATGGATGAATGTGGGTAAAAATAAAGTGTGGTATAATATACAATGGAATATTATTCAGTCTTAAAAAGGAAGGAAAGTCTGATGCATACTACACAATGGATGAATCTTAAAACATGCAAAGTGAAACAGGCAAAACCAAAAAAGACAAACATGTTGGGCATTATGGCACATGCCTATAACAACAGCTATTCAGAAGGCTGAGGCAGGACAGTTTTAAATGTTATTCAAGGCCAGCACTTGCAACTCAGCAAGACTCCGTTTCAAAATAAATTTTAAAAAGGGCTGAGGATGCAGCTCAGTGGTAGAGGACTTGCCTAGCATGCATAAGGCCCTGGGTTCAATTCCCAGCACTGCAAAAAAAAATTTTAAAGACAAATATTGTATGAATCCAACTAAAACAGACAAATTCATAGAAACAGAAAACAGACTGGCAGTCACCAGGGGCAAGATGAAGAAACCCAGAATAGGGAGCTATTGTTTAATAAGTACAGACTTTCTATTTGGGCTAATGCAAAGCTCTGAGAAGGAAGGGAAGACTGAGAGACCTAATCTCATCAGGTCTGGAAGTCAGAAATGGGACGGGAGGGGGCCGCTCACTGCTGGCTGCAGAAGTGGAAGTGGTCACACAGCAAGGCCTGAAAGGCCTCTAGGAGTTGACAGCAACCAGCCTCTACATAACAACCAGAGGAAAACAGAAGTCTCAATCCTACCACCCCTCAAATCAGGATTTTCCAGCAAACTGAAGGAGCCTGGAAGTGGATTCTTCCTAAGTGTAGCCTCCAGGTGAGAACACAGCTGGTTGATGCCTTGATTTGGTCTGAGAGACATTG